AATAATCTCAACATTATTTACCGTAATATTACGGTTTAGCACTTAGTTTTAGAATTTAAATTTAAGAGAGAATTTTATAGAATTTTTAATTGTAATTTAGAATATATGCATGTATGTATGTATGTATTTTCTCCTTTACCACATATTTCAGCGACATCCTATTTTTTACGAAATTACCATTCTACTATTATCGTAAAAATAATTTAACTATATTTTGACGTATCTAATTGTAAGATCGAATTTATCGAAAGATCTAAAAGTTGACTAATCGGCATATTAATGTTTTTCAAATAAATTTAAAAATTTTTTAAGTAAATTGAACTAGATTCTACTGTATTTTAAGAGTATGTACAATATTTACTGTATATATTTGTATGTACATATGTACTTGTATACGACTCTAAACAAATCAATATTTATTTTAAATTTTTGTTTTAAATTAATAAATTTGTACATAATTTTATGGTAATATTTATAATATTTTATACAAATATGAAGAAATATACATACATACGTAAATACAGTGAATGGGAAGTAATGGGTATAAAATACATACATACATACATAAGTATGTAAATAGTATCGATCCATCCATTCTTTAAAAAAAAATTGAGTAAACTTTAAAAAAAAAATTCTTTTAAATTTCTTAAATTTTTTGTTGTTATACTGTTTTTGGTTTTTGTATTTGGTATGACAACAGAAGCAAAGAGACAAAAACCTAAGAAAATGAAAGGAAAAATTTTCAAAAATAAAAATTTTCTTTAAAATTTTCATTTGTTTACAATTTTTTTACACCCAATTCATACGTGTACATGTATGTATGTATATATTCATATGAACCACCCCGTATATTTAATGTTTACAAAACGTATATAAGTAGTTATGTACACAAATATACATACATATATAAATATTCTTACAATGTATCTACAAAATTATAATGCATAATTAAAAGGAATTTCATCTTCATGTCACTTCAGCTTCTGCTGTATAATATCTTTGTTTTTTGACACACAGCTGACAGCATATTAAGTAGAACGCCTGCGTAGAATCACACATAACACGTTGTGTAGATTTTTTTTTTCAATTTTTTTTTTTTTTACTACATTTATCCGAAATATAAAAAATTTTGAATGTAATAAGTACGTATATAAGTATGATTGTATTGTAATTTTTATTTGTATAACAATTTGTATAACATTTTCAATATATCACATACTTATATACATTGTTTTGAAGCGTCATTTCCTCTCTATCTTTATATGTAACATGTAATTATGTTTTTATTTACAATAAGATTTTTTTTTTTTTTTGGAAATTTTCTTCACTTTTCCGGAGATTTTCTTTTATATTATTCTTTTATTTTATTAATGAAAAAAAAATGTAAGAAATTCTAAATGGAAAACCGTGTACATATGTATATGATGATAGTGTAAGGGGGAATACAAAATGTGTTATCTTTATCTATTACATAATTAGGAGTAACACACGCCAGATATAATGTTGTTTACATAAATACCTATGTACGTGAATTGTAAGTGTAAAAAATTGCTTTTTCTATAGTCATTAATATTGTGTATTCACCCAGTATGATAAATTATGATGACAAGATTCAAAATCTGCTTAATGGACAATGGACTCATCATATGTACATATGATTAGTAAAGCTCCAAAGCTTACAAATACAAAGCATATTATGTAAAATTCGTTCCTAAAAATTGTAAATTTTTACAAAACAAACGTGTTCGTAGTTAAGGAAATTCAGTTAGGGAAATAAGTACCTACTTAGGTACTTACATATATAAAAATTCAGTATCTACTACATATTTCTAAATAGTGACATGAATACTCTCTGAATTGAATTAATGAGTGAAACAAAAAAAATTGTTGTTATGAAAGTACTAGTTTCAAATTCTCCTAAACTTGTCTTTGAAATTTATCATTGAGTCAGCGGTAACAAAGCATCCAAAATTGATTTGTGATAAATAGCTAAAGCTACTAACAATATTACTAATATTTAAAATTTACTATTAATTTACTATTATTTATATTATTTTTAATGTAGCAAGTATCATTTGAGAAAACTATTTGGTCCTTTTCATAACCGTGGCTTGTCCCATTTTAGCTTATGATATAAACAGAGGTATTATATGTAAATGCCTTAATATGCAATTTACCATATTAAGGCTTTTACATAATACATATATAAAATTGTGTTACACAGTATCCAATTTTAAGTTCCTATAATTATGTAATAAATCTTTTCCTCTTTATTATAGATTTAAGAAAATTCTGTTCACTTATTATTCCTAGATTATTAAGTATTATAAAAATTAAATACACACTTTATCTTAATGGAAATTAGTAGTGTAATAGGCACATTCTTATTGATTCCGCAACTATGATGTTGTATTAGTAAAATTCATAATATAAATACACACTCTTTATCACAATTCCATTTATATAAACGCAAGAAGGTTCTATTTTCTTGCATTACATGGTTTAGAATTTATCAGAAATACAATCATAACAATATCCTAAAGTTCATATGCACTACAGTGCCTATGTACACGTAGTATATAAAACGAAAAAAACTTCCTTTCTACTTTTATTCATTCTCTGTTGGTGTTGTTGTAGTTGCTTTTTAGTTATAGTTCCTTTATTATTTTCCATTTTCTTTTGTGAACACTAAAAAAATATACTAAGAGTAGTCAATAACAGGAATTAAATATTATTTTTTTTTTACAACAAACAAAACTACACCATACTTTTTGTTCACCCTATAAAATTTCTCCCTTTTTGTTTTCAGAGAGTCACCCTTTATTTTGTTTTTATTGTTCTGTTTCTTATTCCCATTTCCCAAAGTCCTTTTTTCTCCTTTATTTTTTTTTTTTAGGAAAAATCAATAATAAAATGACGAAATTTTTTTGTAATGTCTTTTGTGTATTTTTAAAATTCTAAGACTGGAAAAAAGTTTTTCTAATTTAGATTTTTCTAAAATAATTTTTTTTTTTAAATTTTCATTTTCTTATCATTGGAAATTCTTAAAAATAAAATTTAGTTTGTATGCTAGAGCTAGATTATTTTTTATCAGAAAAAAATATTTTTTTTTTCTTGTTTTATTTTTTTTTTTTTTCGTTCTTTTAAAGATAAGATGTGGGCTTTTTCATATTATTAGCATTAGAATTTTGCTTATCAAATGAAAAAACTTAAGGTAATTGTAAAAATTTTAATAAAAAAAAAATTAAATTTTTTGCCTAGGTAGGTACCTACCTCAAATATGAAAAAAAAAATCGTGTTCTAAGTTACTTTATCCTTTTTTCTATTGCACAATTTAAAACATTTAGGTACAAAAATTATTATTAAAGAAAATAAATTTTAATTGTTTTTCTTTGCATATTTGTAATTTTTTCATAAAATTTTATTAAAAAACTAACAAAAAATAAAATGATTTGTTGTAAATTATTGAAAAGCTGAAAAGAACGGAATTTGAACACTTTAGCAAAAAAAAAACTTTTTTTCGCCTCTTTAGTTGCTATCCAATCAATTACTTATTTTATATAATAATTATTTAAATAATTGAAATATTTATTTTATGATCTCTTTTTTTTTTTTCACTTTAAAATTTTTATTTTTTTTCTTATTTAAAATTTCATTATTTTTGCCGACAAAATAAATTTGTAATTACACCGTACGTGTTGCCACCTTGCCGGACAAAATTGCACTTAATATTATTTTTTTTTTTTTTGTCATTTTTTGAGAAATGAGAGCTCTACTCTCTAATCAAATGAAACATCATCAAGTCATCATACTGTTATTGATACACACACCAATATAACTTTTGTTTATTAATATTGATTCATTTGTGTGCAATACCGTAATAATATAGTTTTTGATAGAACAAAAACAACAATAGAATAGTCGACACATTAAGTCGACTAAAATAAAATTTTTTAAGTTTTTAATAGCGTGGCGGCTAAATATTTTCTTTTATTTTGGCTAATATAAAAAAAATGACATTTTGATAACAGATAAAATAAAGAAAAAGAAAAACGAAAAAAAAAAACAATAGTTTGTTTTTCTTGTTTTCATATTATGATTTTATTTTGTTTTGTTTTTGCTGTTTTTTTATGCACATGAGTATTGATAATTTTTGTGACAGCTTTGTTGTTTTGTTATAAAAACCACGTACACAGAATGTTACAAAATAATTCGCATTTATTGTCATTATTTTTACGAAATGTTAAGGTAATGCCAGTTAATATAAATTAACTTTGTTGGAAAAAATTTTAAAGAGTATGTGAAAAAAAGGGGAATTTTCGATAATTCAATTTAAAGTTAGGCAAAATTTGCAAAAATACCTTTTTTGAAAATGACATTTGGGATTAAAATTCTAAAAGAAATTTTACATTTTTTTTTTAGCTAATGCAAACTTTTTTCGCCTCTTTAGTTGCTATCCAATTAATAAGAGGAGAAATATAGAGGAAAGAATATAGAGAAGGAAAGAATAATAGAAATGCGTTCGAAGTAAAATATACAGTTTCTGCAAATTTGTAACCATGTGTGAAAATATTTTAATAAGATTTAATTTAGAACTTTCAGAGAATGCCTGTATTATCCAAAATCTTCCAATAAATTCGGATCAAACGGAAAATTTTTAAATAAGCACTTTTCCCTTGAATGAGTGAAATTGAAAAAGTTTTTTTACAACTAACCTACTGCCTACTTATATGTATTTAAATGACTGTCGTTAATATAACAAAATATATTAAATGATTGTATACATTTAGGATGAGTTTATCTTTAATACCTCATCCAAAATTATGCTGAAGAAATTCATAATTTGAAGGAGATATCATGTGTTTACCGATAAGCTCTGCTTTTAGATATTTTGAAGTTGGTTTTTCACTACCGAGTCGTTTAATATTTGGGAATTTGGGACGTTATCTAAAACCATGTTGTTAATTCTAAAATAATTTATGCCAATTAATTATATTTAGAATAAATTTATTATACTATTATAAAATTTTAATAATCTAGAATAGTTTATATTTAAAACCAATTTAATTATAATTTTAAATTAATAGTATCATTATATTGCATATGTATTTTATAGCGGTGTTGAATAATTTTAATCGAACGTGATAGTTTCTTTTTTTTTAATATAAGAATGTTTTTATTTTTTTTTTTTATGCTACTTCTTGCTAAATTGTTTCAAATTTACCAGAGCAACAAGCGCAATGATCAACGGATGTAGAAATAAGCGGTAAGGTCTCTTTATTATTTTTTAAATCTGCGACAAGTGATTGAATTTTTTCAATTATTTTTTGTGAATCACTTTCAGTTATGTTATCTTGAAAAAATTTATTAACGTTATCATGCTCAATCTGATGTTGATAATTATGAGTTTTCTCTATATTCTCGATTTTATTATAATCCGTGTCTTTTTGTGCGACATTTTGAGTTTCTTGATGACCATTACTTAAAATTTTTTCACTAATTTCTGTATTATGATTTTTAGGCATTTCTGTTAAATTATAATTAATTGAATTAACATTTTTTAAACCGACTTGTTTCATTAATAATTCTAGTTTTAAAGCTTTAGTACGTAGGTCTTCACGTTCGGCTAATAATTTTTTTAATTGAGCATCTCTTTCATACTCTTTATTTTTAAGAATTTTTCTTTGTGATTGATACAAAGCGATATATTCGCCTATAGTTTCAGTTTCACCCTGTAACTGTAATACAATATGTTCCAATTGTTGTTTTTCATCTGTTAAGTCAGCTACTTCACCCATCAATTTTTTGAAACGTTCTTCTAAACGTAAAATTGCTTCTGACGTTGGAAGTGATATTGCATCAGAATCCTTTCTTTTCAAATTTTCTTGTGATGTTGAATCTGACATTTGAATAGCTTGGTCATTTTTTTCAGAATGTTCTAAAGTTTCGCAAGTATTATGAGAATGTTCCACACATTCTTCATTACTTAAAGTTTCAGTTGCATTATTAACCATTTCTGGCGAAACTGATCCTTGCTTAGTACTAATATCCTCATTTGTTTTTTGTAATATACTTAATTTTTCAATTAGTTCGTTATTTTCATGGGTTAGTCGTATCATTTCTTCATCTTTAAAATGCATTTGATCACTTAAAGTTTTAATTTGATTTTGCATGTCTTCGAAATTTTGTCGTGTTTGCTTATTAATAAATCTTTCTGAATCTAGAGTATTTGTTAAATCCATTTTATCATTGGTTAGCTCGATCAATTTTAACTGAACTTCATCTAGTTGTTTACGTAGTTCATTATTTTGAGACATTGCACGTGACGCTGCAACTTTGTCACTTTCAATGGAGGCTAATAATTTTGCATCATTTGGCCTATCCGCTTCTAAATTTGAAATACGTTCTAATAAAGCATTGATTTCTTCAGATTTTTCTTCGACTAATTGACGATATTGCACAATTTTCTTTTCATTTTCTTCAATTGTCTTTTTCAAGGTTTCCTCTTGTTTTTTAAGATGCGTAATTTGTTCCTTAAGCTCATTTTCTTGTAATACTCTCTCTCCAATATTTTCAGTAGAGACACTTTTCTAAAAAGTAATAAAGAATTAAAAATGAGTGCGATTATGTTAATTGTATACATGATTCTTCCAAAATTGTTTCAAAAGCTTTTATCTCAGAACTAATATAAATTTAATCGTTTATTTCTGAGAAAGCTTTACATACCGAACCAAATGGAAATCTTTTTCAGAATTTTTTCTAATAACATAAAAAAAAACAAATTCTAATTGGATTCTTAAAATCTTAGGAAACAAGGATGGGGAGGAACATTTTCATACCTTTCAAAGGCAAAACTTAAATTCTAAATTATTGTACTAAAAAAAAATTACCATATTTTGTCGCAAATTTTCATTCTTTGTTATATTCTGTTGGATCTCTCTTTCTAAATTACTGATATGATTCACTAAATCTCGTTCTCTTTCTGCTAGCTTTCTATTATCTTCTGTTAGTTCTGAATTTTTTTCAGACAAGGAAGCTACATCTTTGTTCAAATGCTGTACATAATTTTGATACTGTTGATTCGCTTGCTCTTTTTCGGCACGTAATTGCTGCACCATACTTTGTAAATCAACTATTTGTTGCTCGTACATAAATTTCGTTTGTGTTAATGTTTCAATCCGGTTATCAATCGTAATTTTATTTTCATCGGATATTTGGGAAATTTGAACATTATTAAGTTCAAGTTGGCTATTTTTTTCTTTCATTTCCGCTTCCATATTGGTAATTCGACTCTTATCTATAGAAAGTTCCCTTTTTAACTCTTGAATATGTTCCGAAAATTCTTCAGACTGAATTTTATATTTATTTAATTCACTTTCCAAATTTTTAACTTTTTCTAACATTTCCACATTTTTTTTCTGCTCACTAAAATAAAATTGTTCCAATTCTTCGATTTGTCTATTAGTTCCACAAAGTCTGGTTCTTAATTCTTCTATTTCAAAATCTTTTTCTTTGCAAGATATTTGCAATTTTGAAGATTCTTTTATTAGATGAGCCTTCTCAGAAATTAATACTTCAATAGTTTTCAAAAGTTCCAAAGAATTGGACACATTCATTTTATCAATGTTGTCGTTTTTATCCTTTTCATTTTTATCAGGTATTACAGAAAAATCAGGATTTTGGTTAGTTACTTGAAATGGAGTCAATACTGTATCAAGCGAAACAGTTTCTTTTGCATCTAATTCAGGAGAAGATTCTTGCGGGGTTTTCTCATTTGTTTGAGAAATGTTATTGAAGGGTGATCGTTCTTCTGAAAGTATAAAATCATTGGAATTGTCCTTATTGTTGAAATAATTTTGCAATTTAGGGGTTTCGAAAGTTTTTCCCTGGATATTTTCTTTTGTTGGTTTAACTTCATCTGAACTTATTTGCTTTTCTCCTCCAGCTTTATAGGCTTTTAGCTAGGAGAAAAATAAGAACCGTATAACTACATATGTATGTACATAATATATAATTATGGTTATTCAAAACAAAGCAATATACATATTAAAATGTTATGACGTTGACATGTACGTGTCTTGTTTTAATAAAAAACTAATATAAACTATAAAAACTGCTAAAAAATACCTTCTTTTTGGCTGCAGCCAACTTTTTAGCTCGTTCTTTATCGGCCATTTTTCTATTTATTTTAATTCTTACAATTTTAATTTGAACAATAAAGTTCCATTAAAACAGAAATTATTTATAATTACATGCAATTGACAGAAATCAAACCTTAATGTCAAACCTTCGTAATAAATACTATCGTCAATCACGAGTCATGGTCTAATAATATTTATATAGTTTTTCTGTTTAAACGGTGACAGCTGCCATTTTTGGAGAATATGACGTCATCAGGAAGAATTGTCTTTATTTTGCTCATTGTAGTACTTCTACATAAACGTTTGATCTAAAAAAATTCAAAAAGATTGAGTTTTAAGATTTTCTATTAAAAAATTTATGAAATATTGATTTTGTTTAAGATTAGTGTTTTTCCAAACCGCTCTTTCTACACTTACAAAATAATACGTATACCATCACGATTATTTGCTATTCTTGAACTGTCATTCTATCTGTGTTCCAGCCTGTATTTTTGTCACTTGACGTTTTATTTTTATTGCATGGTTTTTGTGCAAGAATATTTTGTTTTTGTTGGTGGACAATAACATTTTTGAATCGCTTCGGGAAAAATGGTCAAAATCGGGCTTCAGATTAATGCTCAGTTAGAAAATATTGAAGAATTAAAAACAAATCATCCAGATTATAGGTTTTTTTTTAAAATAAAATGTACCAATTGTGGTGAGGTATCTGATAAATGGCATGATGTGTCGGAATCTGAACGAGTAGGACAAAGTTCTCGTGTTCCTAATGGATTTAATTTCTATATGAAATGTAAAATATGTAGTAGAGAAATTTCTGTTGATGTCGTGGAGCACTCGAATCGTAAGTCATATATTTTGAATCTTGCAAGATTCAACGTAGTCATATTGACTACGTTAATACTGCCATAGCGTTTAGAGTTTTAAGATATGTATATAGTAGAGAACATATAAGGACATTTTCTAATTTATTCCAGAATCATATACCCTCGATGATTCGGGTAAATTTAAAACCATTGTGACCTTTGATTGTCGTGGAGCAGAACCAGTTGAATTCTCACCGCAAACTGGTTGGATTGCTAAATCAGTTGAAAACGGTCAGGTGTTCGAAGATATTGATTTATCAGAGGATGACTGGGCTGATTATGATGAAAAAAATAAGTCTGCTGTAGGTATAAGTGAATTTCAATTTCAGTTTATTAAATTAAAGAAATAAAAATTTCTACATGGCAAAATGTTTCCTCTAATTTAAAAAATTTTTTTTTTTGCCTTAATTAATTTTATTAAAATCTAATTACTTTTATCAGCCACAATAGGAAATTTAACTATTCTAATTTGATTTCCATAATCACAAATTATAGAACTATTTGCTAAAATCATAATTTTTGGACAGATTTGTGAGAAATCACTACCCAGTTTTACTTCTCGTGCTGGTTCTCCACTTCTAACATCCCACACAATTAAGGATCCTAAAATTTATATATACTTTGTAAATTATTGTCAAAACTTGAGCTAAAAATGTACCTAATTTACTAGTAACTAAAAGTGATGGAGTAAGCATGCAAAGATTGGAATATGCATTTGAAATATTTATGGTTGTTAATAAATTTCCTTGAAACCTTTCCCAAACACACACACGTTCATCGATTCCTAATGATATAACATAACTGGGGGCACATGCTAGAGAGCTAATAGAACCATCATGTGCCTGAATATTGTACATGCAAGCTCCGGTATATAAATCCCATATGCATAAAAGTCCATCTTGAGAGCCCGAACCGCCGCTCCCATGTTGCCATTTGTCCACAAAAAGGCATGTTATTGGACCAAAATGTCCATGTAAAGTGAATTCAATATTTGAATCATACATATTAAATACCTATGAAAATTAAATTTGTTGTTAGTTAAGCTAGTAATATCAATTTTCTTCAATCTTTAATTAAGCATAAATCTAAAAATACTTTTCATTAATATCGAATTACTTACCCTTAGTGTGTGGTCTTTACTGCCTGTAAATATCATTCCGTTCACGACTTCCATTGACGTTATAGGTTGTTGATGTGCCGATTTAGTTTCTTCTAATGTGCAAATAATTTCTTCTTGTCCATCTTTTTTGTCCACAATGAATTGAGAGTTATTAATACCTGCACCTCTTTTTACGAGACCGATACTGTCTGCCGAACTGGTTCTCACATGAGCTAAAAAATTCATTGATTTAGAGTATTTTTTTTTGTCTATATAATATTTAAAATACTTCTTCTATAAGCTGAAGTGAAGCTCCAATCTATTTGTTTACCCTTATAGTAAGTTTCTAAACGATAAAAATCTAATCGTCCAGATAGTTTAGCTGCTATGACTCTGTCACCTACGAGTGTTATATGCGTTATTCCTTTTTTTTCTTTGTCTTCTTCTTCATAAGCACACTGAAATTGATGTTGTTTTATTTTTGAAGAAGAATATTTGAATACAGACCTTTAAAATACCAGTAGGAATTTCCCAAAATTCAATTCTTCCATTAGCACAGCCTAACGCTACTATATTGTTTAAATAATCCATACACCAAATTGGTGAAAAACGTTTTTTTGAGATTCTTCCGCAATTGTTCGTAGTATTGTTTATAAAATTGCGCATTTGTGATTCTGAATTCAAAATTTCTTGATATTTCGAGCGATCAATATTTAAAAGAAGATCACCACATTCAACGTCCCATACTTTAATTTGTCCCTTTAAACAACAACTTATAATGTTTTGCCCATCTGAAACTAAACATTCGATTTTATGCGTATGACCGGGTAAATGAAGTGGAACACCCTCTAAAATTTGTTCTGCGTTTGGTATGGGTTCAGTTTCATTCCAACTAGATCTCCATTCTGCATAATTTCGTGTGCATATACAACGATAAAAAACCACCATGGTATATGTTAGCACAAAAATACTTATGGAACATAACATAGCAACAATAAATATTTCCATTGGACTTTTTGGGTACAATGGCGTGCCACTTGTTGTGCCAATCGATAAAACTGGTTTTTCTCTAGCTATATTTTTACCCTCATCATTAAAATCTAATGGATCGAGAGCAGCAGCCAAAGTTTTCCATTGAAAATTCTGTAACAAAATGGCAAAAATGTTAATTTCAAAAAATATAATTTAATATACTTTTATTTCGACGTCTTTTGGATTCCGCATAATAATGGCTGATTCTGGGGCTATGATTTTAGAAAGCTTTATACTTGGTAAAACAGCTATATATGTTTCGGCTAATGAAATATTATATTGGATCAAAATTTCAGACCAATGGAAATTCGATAAATAGTAATTAATTTCATAATCTGGATATTTAAATTTTTTTTGTTCCCTGATCTCTTCTTCAGTCTCACTAAACGAATTCATTTTACCAAATGAATTTTCCGTATTTGTGCCAGGTACATCTACATGAAATAGACCATTTGGTTTTGTTTTTTGATTTTGTGTTGCTGAGAATTTAGAATCAAAATTTCTCACTGATATATCTTCTCCCAAAGAACTGCTATTATTTAAATCTATTACTAAAAAATGTTCCAAAAATTCTGAATTATATACAATAGAAAATATCCATATACTCATCCAAACCATAAATGCCCGTTGAAAAAATCTTGTTCTAGCCCAAAAATTCACAATTCTGAGGCGTTTTGGTATTTTTTGTTCTTGGGAATTATTTGAATTCAATCTTTTATTGGTTTTGTTTTCACTAACTGATTTAGCTTTATTAATTTCATTCAAACTTAATTTGGGATAAGAGTGGGAACGATGAAAACCGCCACCAACGTTATAGTTTAATGGTGAATAATTGTAGCCAGTGAAATTCTTGAATTCCCTTTGCTTATGATCGTAACTCATTATTTTTGGTAAATTTTTAGCCTCATATTGATATTCCACTCGTTTTATATTCATCGCAAGTCCAGTTGAAAAAAATAACATTTGCAATATAAAATCTGATATTAGCCCAACAATAGCAAATACACAAAATTCTTGTATAACTGGAACAAATGTGGCTAAGCCAGCTGTTAAAATTGTTATTTCAGTTAGAAGAGTTTTTGATATATGCCAGCCTTCTTTACTTAGTGCTTGTGCAACTCTAATTTTATTATCAAATGTTTCATCTGTAGAAACAATACTTTTTGTTAAAACTAAACAATTTTCCAGTCCAACTAATACAACCAAATATGGGAAAATTCCTTTCGATTGTATAGACTGCAGACTGATTGTCAAACCAAAAAAAAAACATAAACCTATGGACATCATTAAACTGCCAAGTACTGTAAATACAGCAAATGTTGCTAAAATGAATCTTGATTTTATAACATCAATTTTCCGAACGGAAAAATATACGTATATAAAAAGTAATATAAATGCTATGCAAATTGGCATAAATTCAGCAACTTTTAATTCTCCTGGATAATAAATATACATTATAGAAGTTTTATCTTGTTGCGTTTGCTGTTGTTGCCGTTTTAAAGTTGACTCTGTCGTTTTTTCTATTTCTTCATTAGGATTATCTAATGATGTTTTAGATTTAATTTCACTGTCGTCTTGATATAACGAATATTGACTTTGTAATTTGTTTTTCAATGATTTCAAAAAATTTTTGTCATATTGTTTTAAAACTAGAGTAATGGCATATTGAATTATGCGAGATCTAGAACGTACTGGATAGCGTTTTAAACCAGTGTCTTGCATTGGTATTCCCAATAGCATTTCGGCAACAGAAACTTTACCCTTTTGATAACTCTAAAATAAATAATTTAAATTTAGTTTTAATTTATTTCAATAATGTTTCAATATTTGTTTACATGATGTTGAAAAATTGAATTTAAAATATTCCCATCTTTTGAAAAATTATGAATATCTTGATTCCAAAAATTTGCTGGTGACAAAACTAAACAATTATATTCAGGAAACAATGAACTTTTCATTCGTTTTACATTATCAACATGAAGACAAATATTGTCCAAGTTAGTAGAACTATTATAAAAATTCAGGTCATAATTATTTTAAAAATATAAATAGCTTCTGAAATGTACTAAAACAATACTGATACGTAATTCAACTCATAAGAAGTTACAAACGAGTGTATACAGTACAGTTTTAAGTCATTTTGATTTCATTAGAAATAAACTACCTTTCATGATTCCGTACAATTTCAAGTAGTTTAAAGACTTCATAAAGCGGAGATCGAAATGCATCTAAGATATACATTTCTTTGAGCCACGGATGTACACCAGTACGTAGTAAAATTTGTTGAACGTATAAAGCTGGTTTATTCTGGGCCCATTGAAATGGGGGATCAAAACTTGTATTAACGTTAAATATATCCTTTACCAAAGAAAAATTACGAATTTTATCATCAAAAGGATTTTGATTTGATTCAAAAGTATAAACTAATTTTGTAGGTATAGTTCCTGGCAATGGTATATTCAAAAGAGGATAACTAAAATATATTGAAAAAAAATTAGTATTTATACACAAAACAAAAATTTATTTTAATTTAAAAATCAGTTTAATTTACCATGAAATTAAAAATATTATTACTGCAATACCAATTGAACAAGTTGGATAACTTGACAAAAATAATCCATGTTTATAATACCACTGTGAAACAACTTCAGGTAGAGCTTGTTTTTCCCTTTTATGGTCTTTAGTCATTTCATTAAAATATTCCTACTGCATTATAATTTAATATATATTATTAAAGTTTAGCTGATTTCTAACATTATATTTTAAATAAACGCACTCTCACTAAAATTAATATAAGCTTTGGTTTTTTTTGCACGAGGATTTCATTACTTTTTAAACATAAAACGGCAGAAAACTCTATTTAAAATTTCTTTATTAAATTCATTAAGCATATAAATTGTATTTCGCATTTCAATAGCTAATATAAAATTAAGATTCTAAATAAATTAAATTAAATTCAATTACTTTTGATACAAAGTTTATTTTATGTATAAAAAAAAAATGAAATTTGCACAGTTCAAGAACGTAAAAACATTTTCTTTTTTTTGACAATCCGCAACACAACTGTCAAAAATCACAGTACCAGACGAAATATACGTTCATTCATAGTGTCTCCTTCTCAGAATATTGTGTAATTTAATATCAACTATTTCTATGTAAATGTTTTTGAATTTTTTTTAAATTTCCAACAATTGTCAAAAATATACAACTTACAAATTTCAAGACGTATTATTTTTTTTCTCTTATTAGATATTTAGCTGTCAACGTAAAAGTAAAAATTTATTTGTTGTTTTGTCATATGTAAAAAGGAATTATTTATTTACATTTTGTAGGAAGAAATTTCAGGGATTAATTATTTTGAAACGACAAATAATTTACAAAAAATTTTTTAAAAATCTCTACACGAGCCAAGAATCAACAAAAAATAACATTATCATCACAAATCCGCTCTTCAGAACTTCAATAACAACAAAACATAATTGTGATCAATCACAAATGATTTCATAGGAGCGATTGAATGTGCTAAATATGTTGCTATGATTGTTTCAATAATGTGTCGCTTTCGTGTCTTCTTTTTTCTGTGACAGCTCACAGCTGATATTTTTGTTATGTCAATCTACTGTATAATGTAAACTAAATTCAAATTTGAAGGAGGTTGAAGTGCGTTTTTAGTCATGTTTACAAATAATAAAAACGATGAAATTATATTAAAAATAATAAATTTTTTAAAAGAGAAACCATATTTTTACGATGAAAGCAATCCCTTATTTTATGACGCTTTTAAAAAAAGTACAGAAAAAAATCATTTAGCAAGATCTTTTGACCCTCCATTAACTGGTTAGTAAATTGAAATATTTTACAAATACATTTATTTTAAAGTTTTTTTTTAATTTATAGTTGCAGTAATCTCAGCAAAAATTCGATATATAATAAGCAAAGTAATAGATAATTATGAATTAAATAAAAATGACAAAAAGGCTAAATGGAAATACTTTAAAGAAACTAAATTTATGATTCCAGCATTATTGTTTTCTCAAAAATCATGCAAATTTTATCAAAACAATGATTTAACTTTTCAAGAATATCAGTTTAATAATAATAGTAGATGGTCAAAATTTGACAATCAAGAAGGAGAGAAGTTTTTGTTGAAAAAAATTTCGAAAAAAACAGAAAATCCTGAAGAGTCATATTGCAAAATATGTAACTTTTTCTGTCCCACTCACTTATTTCATTCACATTTTGAGCTACGATATCACCAACGAGGTGAAACATATTGGAAAAACCAAAAAAATATTGATGTAATTCAGTGTCCTTGCTGCGATCTTCTATATAAAACCTGGCTTGAGTTTTTCAAACACATCAAAATACATCAATTACAAGATGAAGATATAAATTATAAAGTTTTTAAATTTAATAATAGAAAATTATGCATAGATTTGAATTCTGATTTACCATCCAGAGACGAATCTTCTGCTCAACTTTTTCATAAAATAAAACGTTTGTCGCAAAAAGGGAAAGCATGTTGAAATTTCTACAGAAAAACAAAATATTTTAATTTTGGTTCAGAAAATATACGTAGATTTCTTGCACTTTAAAATTACTTTAATTTCTTCCTTAAAGTAGAAATAAGCATATTAGTAACTACAGTATTTATATAAGAGTTAAATATTAAATTTGGAAGTTTCGTAAGCAAAAAAAAAAACCAAATTTTATTTTATTTTCTTTATTATAAAAATTAAAATTTATAGAATCTGTGTAAAGTAAACTAAATTTTTACTTTGTGCTATTTTAAGTCTTAAATCAATGTCGTGAAAGATTGGTTGAGATTTGATATTCCCAAACTATCGAAGATCAATAAATATTTAATCAGTACGCATATTATAAATATATTTAATATTAAAATATGATGTAGTTGGGTTTAATAAGGGTTTTTAAAAATTATATTTATTTTTTGTAAAAATATTTTTTAACCTCTCTGTTTTTAAATTATCTTTGGTTTGATTTTTAAATTTTGGTGAACGAAAAACTTTAGTTCTTTCAGTACAATCAACAATCGAAATTTCGTTTTGGTTAATTTTTGGTTCTTGATCCAATTGGTTAGTCTTAGATGGTTTACGTCTCAAACTTTGTCGAATTGAACGAAATATATTGTGGTTTTGGTTTAAATCAGTTGCTTCGTTATTTTCTCTTAGTTCGATATTGTTTTCATTTTCCACTTTTTTATTTGAATGAGTTATGAATTTTCGTATGCTTTTTCGAATTGCTGTGCCAATTTTCAATTTCACTTCTTTTATGGGTTCATCTGCTATATCTTCCAAATTACCCATTTCTTGTGGTTTACTCAATACTAAAGGCTTTCTGTAATACCTAACAAAAGGTGTTGGTTCTTCTAAATCAGGGTTCCCACTCATAGATGAATTTGAATCTTGATCATTTTTCACAGTTTTTTCTGGATCACCCGTAACAATATTATTAGGATGAGATAAATTTATTTCTGGTTCGCTTTCTGATATATTTTGTTCGTTTTTGGTATCACTGCCCTTGTTTTCATTAGCTATAAATGACATTTCCAATATATTACTAGGTGAGATTTTGTCTGTTATAGGTGTATTTTCAAGTACGACATTTTCGCTGTCCCCTTGCATCAAATTAGAGTTTATTATTTCAGCGCTACTCTTTTTTAACTTCGCCTCATTAATACTGTTTTCTAATTCCAATTGATAACAATCTAATTCTTTTCCAATATCAATTTCATCATCTTCCGCAATCACTTCTAGTGTTTTTTTTAAAGTATTTGAAGTTTCTTCTCTCAACAAACTTTCCAGCGGAATATTTCCAAAATCAATTCGGCAAGTTGTTGTCGGTTGGAAAGGTAATGCTATAGCAAAATTTTTGAGATCCGAGATCTTATTTGGAGAACATATATCCAAAGCAGGATTCAATATTCCATTAACAGGATTCTGAACAGGAGATTTTGAACGAGCTACTTCGTAAGGATTAACATTTGTATCTCGAACTCGTATGTCTAGCCCATTATTAACAAAGCAAGAATCTTTTACTAATGTTGTTTCTTTTGATGGGGACGTTATTCTGCGTATTTCAAAAGGATTAAAAACTTTTTCAGGTGCATTTAAATTTAGAGCCGCATTTTCAAAGCAACATTCTTCTATATCCGGTTTCTTTTTTTTGGCGGGGAGTTTCCTTACTACTTCAAATGGATTCTCAAGCTCGCAGACTTTGTTTTTCTGAGATTGTAATTCAGGTGCAGATTCCGTTTGCGCAGAAATATTTCTAACATTTTCCTTATTTAGGTTAACAGATTTGAATCGTTTTGAAAATTTTCGAATAGGCCTTGTAAACTCCTTGTTTGGAGTAGATGATCTGAATGCTGGATTAACGATTCCATTCGAACTACTACTCAACACTGTCTTTGCTTCTTCTTTTTGTGTTTGAAGCTCTGTTTCATAATACTCTCTTTTACGCTTCCTGCATCCTCCTGGTGATTCGGTGTATATAGTAAGATTATCCATCCTAAAATTAACGCGAAAAAATTAAGAAGTTAATTTTGTCATTTTACTCTGTATTTTAAACACTAATTTTCAAAAAAAACTGTGAAACAATTATTTTGCGGCTTTTTTGTTTCACCCAATTCAAACGCTTCTTGAATTCAATTCAAAAAAGCTTTCAATAATAATTGGGAGCACAACATGCATAACGTCTTTATAATGTCAAATGTCAATTGTCGAATTCGATTAGTTTTTAACAAATCCCCTAGCGGTTTCTGTGTAACTACATGACACTATAGAGTTATTGTTATTTGAATTTAATGGACCATCGGTAAAGGGATTTTCATATAAACATCAACATTTTAAACACTCAAAATTGAAAAAAAATTTAAATTATTTAAATTAAATCCCTCCCACGAGACAGAACTAAATTTTAAATTTCAATATATTTTTTGACGCTGGCGAAAACTAATTCACTTAAATTTTAAATTTTAATGTTAAACTGATAAGAAAACCGTAATTAAATTTTGTTGTAAAGATATTATGATAAAATATAAGACTAAGTTTACGATAAAGTCTGATGGCTGTTTACAAATCACATTGAAATTTTCTGATAATATCTTGAATTTCAAGCAAAATTAAAATCGCCTGATCACTATCCAAAAATTTTGCACACACTTTTATTAGACTAATTTAAATAATTGATTTTGCCATTTGTATTATAACACTATTGAAATGTACCTTACATTTTTACAAATATCTAAATGGCACATAAAATTTTGATAGTTCAGATATTAATTGGTGAGGTACAAATGAGAAACATCATACAAATGTACATTTCGTCGCACCCCTACTATGAAGATGTTGCATGACTCGAAGTTTATTTGCATACTTAAAATAAAAAATTTAAATGTTAATGTAATCATAAAAAACAAATTCATTTTTCCAGCTATTATTTTTGCTAGATTTTATATGGTTGTATGGTACGGCAAAAACTTTTGGCAATACTGTGTAAGAGTGTAATAATAATAGTGTAAACAAGATAGTCTAGTGCGATTTTTCTAGATTTGTGATTGTCTACAAAAACTATTGGCAATACTGTATAATAATAGTGTTTAATCGTATCGTAAATCGTAATCGTAAATCATAATTAAAATTTAATAAAAAGAAATGTCAAACTTTAGTTACCTTTTTTAGTTCATTTTGCAAATGCTGAGAAATAAGTAATTTTAAGTGAAAATAAAAAAGAAAATAATAAAAAAACTGTTGAGAGTGTAATGATGATTGAGAATAAAAACAATATTTAATTAAACAAATAAGAATAATTAAAATAAAGAGTGAATAATTAGTGTTTATTTCGGAAGATAGTAAAACTATTTTTTTTTTTTTGGAAAAGAAAAATACGGGGGACCGCCATTACTTTTTTTTTATGCTGAATAGATAAAATATTATAACTTAACATATAAAATCGAGGTATACCTATGGTATTATTCATAATATTATTAAAAAGAAGATATAAATATTTTATGAAAAATTCCTTATTAAATAAATATCAATTGAAAGAAAGGGTCAAATTATTAATATTTAAAGAAAATTATTTAAAAAAGGTAAGTGAATAGGAAGGAATACAGATTTATAATTTTAATTGCTCTTTCAAATATAAAAATACCTACATACACAATATTGCTAAATCAAGAAAAAGAATATTATAATGTGTATAAATACTGATCGATGTACATATATATATATATATATATATATGTAATGTATAAAATATATTTACAATACATTCGCAATAAATTTTATTATAATTTAGTCTTTTTCTTTTAAAAATTAATTCAGGATTTATTATACTAGATTTATAGAAAATTTTAAAACTAAGTTCTGTAAAAAAGGTTTAATTATAAACTTTTTTTTAAGTCACATGAATAATATTAATGAATGGCACAATATCTAATTGGAATAAATAAGTTACATAAATACATACATACATGCGTTATAAAGGCTCTTATAATAGTTTTATATGTACATATATGTACGCACTTTCCAAAAATATTCTTAACTTCATCAGGTTATCACCTTACTTATTTATTTACCTTTATTATTTTAATTTCCAAGGTTTTTTGTTTTATATAAAATTATCAATATTATTTCTAGATTGATATAACAAAATAAAATTTGAGAGTGTGGAGGAAATTTAATAGCGATTTTGTTATTGAATAGGAAAATTTTTGTTTTAAATAAAGCAACTTATTAATTAGTTTTAAAATTTTTCGTTCAAGCTTTTAAAATTAATATATGTTTCGGTCTTTGTTTGACTTTTGCTCTTAAAATAAGTCTAAAAGGAAGAGCAAAAAAGTGATCTATTTGAATTATTTTGGTTAATAACCGGTAGATGGTACCCTCCTGCTTCAATTGCATTTCCTTCAAGAATCAAAGATATTAATATTAATATTTTTACATTTTAATTAAGTAAAACATTTTTATTTTAATAATTTTATATTGCTTAAAATCAATCGTATAGAGGTAGTTTTAGAAATTTTACCAGTCTAAACCACTGAAGGTATTGTTTTTAAACATGAAAATCAAATGCAAACCGAAATGCAGATGCATACTTGCATCAGAATGGCGTAACAAAAAATACCACAAATTGGCCACAAATAATAAAAAAACAATTTTTTCTGCTGCAAAGTTTCGAAACAGTTTTTTTTTCCTATTTATTTCTCACCAAAGTACTTTTGCTTTTGTAAAAATTTTGTGATTTTTCAAAAGCAAAGTGGTATAACCCACATTGTGGCATATGCAACTCTGCTTCTGAGCCCCTCATTTTGCATCCGAACTCCAAATCACAATAATTTTGTTTTTGTAATTATTTCAGGTCATCAAATTTAGCATGCCCTACCACACAATTTTGTAAAATTTGCACAAAAACCGTCTAACTCTAATGATATATGTACACCCTGTAAAATTCTCAAGTTAATACATTAAATTGTGTGAAAATGATATTGGTCCATGAATAGCAAGTATAAATTGTGTTCCTGCTTTATATTATTATTATTAAAATCAAATTCTATTTTTTAGACCCTTTTTTAAAAAGCAATTTTCTAATAAGAATACAACCAAAACTTTTATAAAGTAAGACGATCACAAAATTAACAAGGTCATAACTAGTATTTTGTATTGTGACTTACTTTTATTTTATTATAAAATTACATACTATCATTAAAATTAAATGAACAGAGCAAGCGTGCGGTTGAATGCATATTTATTAAATGCAAAAATAATGTTTAAAATGTAAAATAAAATTTTCTATTTATCATTATAGGCGAGAAAATAATAGGGCAACTGCATTTTAATAAGTTATGCAAAAATTCATTCTACAAAAAATATTTCATTTTTTTATATTTAACAGAAGTTAAGAACTAAGCTTAAGATTTGATGACTGCACAATAAATATTTTAAAAAATTTTTAATTGCAACCACCGAATTTTCATGCAATCAAAGAGTTTGAATTACTTACTTAGAAAACGAGTGAATTTCAACTTTAGATACAAAATCACTTTTTCAAATGTGCTAAATAATTGCGCATTTTTGACCCATAGGCGTTCATTTGAAAAAATTTGTTCGACATAAACACAACTATTGTTTTTCAACCAAATACCAAATTGCATACAGAACACATTATTCAGTAGCACCACCGACTTTTATGAAAACACATCAGTGATGAGCAATTTAAATATAACATAGAACATAGTTCTTTGGATAAAATATTTTGATTTGGAAATGTGCTACTTTTATAAACTAATTTATGGATTGTTTCGTATTTACAAAATGCTAAAACGTTAAATTTAAAATTGTTTAACTAAAAAAAAAACTTAATTTTACTTATTTTTTTATTGTTGCATGTGCATATGTGTGTTCTTATTTAAATATTTAAAGAAACCTCTTAAAAACAATTTTTAATTATGTACATTAGTTATTAGTTTACACAACATTAATATTTATTTTTGTTTAACATTAGATAACAATGTTTAAAATTTCATTTGAATCAATTAATAAATTTAACCAATATTAGAGATTAGATAGCAAAAATTTAGAATTGAATATTGCTTTACATTACATTAAAAAAGTAAGCCAACATTGTGGTAGAGATAAAGTGGGGGTCACGCATTAAAAAAAAAGGTTAGAGTAGGAATGTGATGGTTGCAATTTTTTCCCTATACATATTTCGAATTTCTGGCCGAACATGCCTTTAAATGAAAAATTAGCATTTTTATAGAAAATTGAAATTTCGGTAAAATTAAAGCTTAAGAAAGGGGTTGCTATTAGGAGCCAAATACGAATTTTAAACCATATTTAAGGAAGTGATCAATAGATTTCTTTAAAATTGTAGATATTGAAGCAATCTACCATTTTTTCATGTCATATTTTTAATTCTCAATTAAATTAACTAAATTAAGAACTGGCATAGACTTGCTGTTGTTATTTTACGCATCTTCAGAGTATGCATGCGATGTACGTAGAAAGAACTGAATTTTAATAATGAACTTGGGTTTAATTGCCATAAGCATTTGAAATTTTCATATTTTTTCCCTTCCGTTCTTTCACAATTTCTTCTAAACGTGCGTAAATAAGCTAATTAACATAATAAAACATTTTTTTTAATTAAGAAAATAAGAAAACAAGAAAATAAACAATTTTTTTACTTTTATTTGATAAGAGTAAATTTTTTTTTACATTTTCAAATTCGAATTAACAAAACAGTATGCATGTGAATTCTATGGAAATCTGAGTACGTTTTTCGAACAAGAGAATATTAATTATTTCGAGTGTGATCTCAGTATTCTCTGATCATAGAAACGAACTCGACTTTTTAGGTTTGAACGCTTTGAACGGGAAATGATATAAGTATTCTTTGACAAATTTGAATCTGCTCTGTTGTTTATTCAAAATTCTCTTACCGATAGGCGGCTAATCTGAATTTTTTAATTGAAAATGAAAGTACCAATATTGTTTTACTAAATTATAATCAATTAGATATAAATTAAATAACTTTCTAGGACTAGAAGAATTTTATACTTAAAATAGAATGGAAAAAGAAAAAGACAATAATACCAAATGGGCCATAATTCAATAACCTTTTCTTAAAATAAAAAAAAAAGAAAAATCATAATTTTTTATTTAAAATTTCAATTGTGCAATGAATACAATTTGACCCCGTAGAACCTTATTTTATACTACAATTTTTAAGAAAAAATTTTTTTATCATCTATGTGTTGATAATACGAAAATACCGATAATTAGTGATAAATTTTAGCTATCGTTTATCGTATCGAAAATTTCCTTGATAATAAGGGGGGGAAATTTTTGTAACTTTAATTATTTATAAAAATTTTGCTAGACAAAGAGTTAAAACAATTTTTTTGCCACGTCACCTCTTTCTAATGAATTGTTTAAAAAAAATAGGTATGAGCGTATTATAATTAATATTTTACAGTCAAAATTTTGTGCCATTTTGTCAAAATGCAAAACTTGAAACGAAAACTATTAAATTTATAAAATTATTTACACACACACATATACATATACTTATTGGAAAATGGGAAAACTTATGAATAGTGCGGCGCATATTGATCTTATTGAAAAATTTTTTTTTTCTTCTTATGTTTCGTGGAAACGTTGTGAAATTAAAAACATAAAATTTGTTTTCATTTTCCTCGTTTCTTCTTATTGTTAGTTCTTGTTCTTTGTCAGTAATAATAAGGAAATGTGTACATTAAAAATTTTGTTTTTATTGTTGTTGTTCGAAAAATGAAAATTCATTTGGATCATTTGTTTTTTGTTCTCAAAATAAATACTTTGATTGTTTTATTTCGATTATGAAAAACGAATTGAACAATACACTTACTTAAATACTTCATTTTCGTTTTGGAAATTCAATATATTTTTTTCTTTTTTCAGATTTTTTGTTGAATTTAATTCATTTTAAGAAAAAAGTTGAACTAGATAGAAGTTATTTACCTTTTTGTTTCTCACCAAATAATTTATTACACACATACTACGTATATACGATTGTATGTAATGCCATTATTAATTTCATTACGTTTTATTAAATTTCATTGTCTATTAGTACAAGAAAAATGAGGATTTTTCCATAATTTTAGACATGTATTTGAAATTCTAACTTAAAAATCCTATTTTACATAATTATAAATCTAGAAAAACTAATTATTTTCTTTGTTTATAATACTTTTTGAATTGCCCTCAAGATTCTACAATTTATTTACACTAAGATTTATTCTAACTGAAAATAATTTTTTACAAAAAACTTTAGAATTACTTTCTTTGTAGAACACTGTAGTAATTTTCGAACAAGCTTTATATTAGTACAATCTGTGGTGCTGACGTTCGAAAAGGTGACGTCATCGGGGAATTTTTTAATTTTAAATTTTTTTTTGTTTTTTTTTTTTTTTTTGTGTGTTTAACAAAATAATTGCATATTTAAATAGCTCCAATGCTCATAATTTCTTTCGGTCTGCATATATTATTCTTTTCTTTTGAAACAATGAGTCGAGTTTAGTGAGTAAGATTTTTTATGTGTAAGCACATTTTATAATAAACTAAGTGTTATTTTTTAACACAACAAACGCTGTTATCAATGTTTTGCAAGTTCAATATTTAATAATTTTTTTTTAATTTTCTTTTTAGGCTTTTTGAGGCTTAAATCAGATCTATAAGCAAAAATTTTCATTCATATTTTTTATTCATCTGCAACGTTTGCCTTTTGCGGATACGGATTCCATAATGAACTTATATGATCCGCTATTAATAATATTGTTGTAACGCGAAAATTTAAATTGAAAAGAAAATATCAAGTTTATGAATGAACCACTGTCCTGGTTAGTTCAATTACAAACCAGGGTTAGAATAACAAACCAGGCCGGATCCATAGATTTTAAAGTATCTTTCAAACTGTTTTTTAGAGTTGAATTGATTTTAGTAGGTCTTATAGTTGAGATTTTAGGATCTTGTTCTTTCTTTTTAAAAAAGGAAACAATCATTTAATTTCTTATTTATTATTATTATAATATAGTATATAATTTAATTTGAATATTTATGTCCGAATTATAAATAATTAAAAACAATTATATTTATATTTAATTTCAGGCCTAGAAAAAAAATAACAAAGGGCTTAAAAAAAAAACTAGTTTTAAATTCCAAAACCGTTAATAAAATTATTGAAAAAAAAAAATACCTAAAAATTAAAATAACAGGTAACAAGGGAATGTTATTTTTTTTAGGTGATTGGGGCATGGGAGAATCTGACTACAAGTCATATCGTCAGCATGTTCCACATATAGAAACACAAATACAACATCAAAATAATTATCAAGAAAATTTTATCAATAGTTCACTTGGTAATTCACAACAAGATCAACAACAACAACAACACCAACAACTACGACATGATAATCAATCACAATTCCAAATAAATCAACCATCATATTCCTTAAATTTACAACAACAAGATCACCAGCCCACTGAATTTAATACAATTGAAAATGCGATAGATTCGCTTCAACAACAAATTCTAAAAACCACCAGTAATTCAACAGTTTTAAAAAATAATGACAGTAGTAATTATAAAATTGGATTAAATGAAAATATAAGTGAAATAAAAAATATAGAAAATAATGGATACCCACCTACAACAGTTACAACAACATCAACAACAAATTTACAAAAATCTTCTTTAATAAATGACAAAAATCAATATAGTAATTCAATTAATATAAATTTAAATCAATATAAATTTGATGTAACAAAAAATTCTCCACCTCGAAAAACATCATTTTGTAGACAAAATGATTTTCAAGGTTCAGATTCATCCAGTTTAAGTTTTGATGGTGATCAAGGAGTTGGTAGTAATTACATAAATAATTCATTCGCAGTATGTACAGAAACTAGTGAATTACATTTGAATACAACAACTAATACTACGATAACTAATATTTCTAAGGATTTTACTGATGGATGTGATGATGAGGTTGCTTTGCATCCACTATCAAATCAGGTAATTATTAGATTGAATTATTTAAAATTTTATGAATTTAATTATTAATTTGAATCATAAATAACTTGAAGAGTTGACCTTCACAATTTTATTGAATATTTCAAAATATTTATGTATAATTATAAATTCTCTTTTGTAGGTTGGTGGTCATACACGTTTGATGTTACTTAATCAGAGTACAGTGGTTAAACCATTAAATTTACGTGAACTAGACTTTTATCAGAACATTCCACAAGAAGTTCAAAAATTTGTTCCAAAATATAAAGGTAAATAAATTCTTTTTATTAATTAATCTTCATTTTTCTTTTATAATTTTAGCACATGAACTTTAAATATAGCAAAAAAAAAAAAAACAAAAATAACCATAATATAATACACAAATAAATAAAATCAAATTGCTTGCAATTTTTCCAAATAAAATATTTTATAACAAGATAAAATAGCAAATCCTATTAAAATCAAAATAAAAGCCCCCACGAGATTATCACACAGATGCTCATCAATTATGTCATTTATTTTTTAGTTCTTTAAACCATTTTTTTTAATTATCATTTGACTTTTTATTTATTTTTTAACCATTTAATTTCATGTAAAATGCAATAAAAATAAATAATAAATTAAAAAATTCAAATTGAATAATTGAAATAAGTTAAAGTTAAAAGAAAATACTATTAACTTTTAATAATTAAAATTTTATTCTTTTCTATAATTATGTAATTTATTAATAATTTAGTAAGAGTTTAAGAATAAATAAATGCTAATAAAGTTACTCTAATAATTCTACCTATAGAATTAAAACTGTTGCATTGTCTTTTATTCTAAAAATGTGATCTTATTCCAATTATTTATTATTGATTAAACTATTTTTTATTACAAAATCTTTGAACAAATTTTTCATATTTTATTTCAATTTTCGGAAATTGTTAATATATTTTAGTAATATTAATGATAATAATGTATAATATGTGTATATGTATTTTTGTAAAGATAGAAAATGAATAATTTATGAATTTATGGAGGCCTAGAAATATTTTGTAAGTAATTTATATACAAAAAATTTATTATACTTTATATTAAAGGATTATCTTTAAGTTTTCATTTAATTTCTTATATAATTTTTTTTTTGTGCAAAATTTTGTTTGTAAACATTTTGTAATGTAAATTTTATTTAAATTGAAAAAATAAATTATTAAAATTAAAACAAACAAAAAAAAAAAATAAAAAATCATACAAGTTTTAGAGGAAATTTAGCCTTAACTTTATTTTAAAAAATATAAATTATAAATTGAGTATAAGTCTGCTTCACAACAACCAAAAAGGATCTAATTTTAATTCCAATCATTATTTCAATAAAATTAAATTAATGATGTGATTAATCAAATTACTATTATTCAACCAGACCCTTTTCTTTTACATTAGACATTTTATCATTACTGTCTCATCGAAGAACACAGGATCATTGTTTATAGTACCGGTGTTTAGATATGTTGATTCAAACCATATTATTGTATCTATTTGTTATCTTAAATTTATTGTCCATTAAAATGGTATCAAATATTTATTCAATTAATTGTATTAATGCTTTTATTATACAATATTTATTGTGATTTTTTTTTTCTTATTTATTTATTTTAAAAGTTTTATAAAATTAAGTTGGTAATAAGTATGTAACAAAAAAAATTATATTGATTAAAATTAAGTAACTAAATGAACAATTTCATAATAAATATTTAATTCATAAACTTTAAATAAATTAAGTGAAAAAAAATCTATATAATTTTAAAAAAATGTAAGTTTATTTGTATTTAATGTAAAATTACAACTATATTATATTAATGTATGTTTGAGCATAATTGATATTTTCTAAATATTTCAAGTCAAAAATATAAAATTTAAATAATAAAAATAAGAGTGCGTATAAATGAAGAACAATGATAGATTTAATAAAAGAAAATAGTTTTAAAAATTAATATTTTTAATATATATTTTTTTCCCTCTATATATTTTATCCTTGTTCATCAAGGAGGTATCATCTATCACTTATTTGAAATGTTTTCCAGTGATACTATTAGACTTTAGAATTGAAAAAAAAAATCGGGATTTAAACGAGATTCGAAGTATTTATCAAAAATATAAAAGATATTGAAGAGCGATTAAATAAATTGCATTCATCTGGCCATCGAACGACACCACCGACATCACCGATAACATTGAAGAAATAACATCAATATTTTTGAAATTTCAATTTACTTTGCAACTGGCAAAGGTTTTTATAACTTAAAATTGAAATGAAAGTTTTATATTAAACTTTTTAAGCGATTTAATTTTTTCGGTATATTTTTTGTTCAAATTGTGTAAAATGTATTTATTATTAGAATATTAGTGTCGTATTAGAAAAATAAAATTTAAAGCTTAAATATTACAGGAAATTTTTAAGGAATGGTTTGTATAAAAAAAACAAAAACAAAATTAAATTACATATTATAAGCATACACACGTATATTTTATGTTTTAAGCTAAAAAAAATTCAAAACTAAATTGTAGAAAAATTCTTATATTAAAGTTATTTTTTGAGATAAGATAGAGGAATATTTTTTCTATTGAAAAATTTTAAACGAAACAATAAAATACGTGACTAAGAATTTGTAAATGTTTTTTTTTTTTAATTAAATTTTTATTTAGCAGACTTTTCAAAATTATTATTTATTATTTATCTTGATAAAAAAATAATTTCTAAAATTTAAAACAACGTTTCATGTATAACTTTGATTTCGAAAATTTGATATTAATACACGGTTCAGCTTACAAGCGGTAATCGCTAAATTATAATTTTAATAGTTCATTACTGCGTTTATATCTAAATTATATTCTTATTTCATTTGTGCTTTATTTTTTATTATTTGGCTTTCCTCATTTGAAACATAATATTATTCCTCACGTTATGTTCTAAACGCACAAATTTCATTTCTATTTTAAAATTTTAACAAAAAATTAATTGAATACAAAAGTTAATATTAGAAAATATTCACGAATTTACTTAAAAATCAATATATATTTTATAATATATTATATTTCATATTATAATAATAGTTTTATATTTAAAATATCTGTTTTATTATAAATTTTCAGGTGTTATGCAGGCAACTACTATGGGTGGTATGAAATTAGAGAAACGCTATTCACCAAATTTTCGCGATGAACATGTTATAAAAAAAGTTAGTGTATCTAAAAGAAGACGTGAAGATGTATTAAGGTAATTTTTTTGAATATTTAATTAAAAAATTAAAAAATATGTTTTAATAATGTGGGAACATTTATTTGTTTTCTTAGAATGAAAGTTCATAAAAATGGAAATGCAGCAGATGTAATTAAGAGTATTAAACAAATTGACAATTCCAATAAACAATGTAAATATTATTTAAAAAAATTTTGAAATAATTAATTAATATTTGATAGCAATTAATATTTGATATTTTTTTTTAAGATTTTTTAATGTTAGAAAATATAACTTCACAATTTCGTAATCCATGTATTTTGGATTTAAAAATGGGTACAAGACAACATGGTGATGATGCATCAGCTGAAAAAAGATCAAAACAGATGGCAAAATGTGCAGCTAGTACCTCTGCTACATTAGGTGTAAGATTATGTGGAATGCAAGTTTATCAAATTGATTTAGATCAGTTTATAAAGCGTGATAAATACTGGGGACGAGAATTGAATGAAGATGGATTTAAAAATGCCTTACGAAAATTCTTTTATAATGGTATTAAATTAAGAACAAAAATCATTAATAAAGTGATCCAAAAATTAACACAATTAAGAAATGTTATTGAGAAACAATCAAGTTTCAGATTTTATTCATGGTAAGATTAAAATATGAAATATTTTACTCTATTATTTACAGATCTAAATTTTTTTTAAAATTTATATTTTGCATTATAGCTCACTTTTAATTGTTTATGAAGGTTATGAAGATTATACGGATACTTCGGCTCTTGTAGATTTTGAATGCGATAAAAATAGTGAAAATAATTTTGAAATAAATAGTAGTATAAAACAAGATAAACAAGTTTCACATAATAAACTTTTAGACCAGAAAGAAAAGAATCTAGGTGTATACCAAAATCCGAATACCTTGCATTATGACGCCGATCAATCAAATGATTCAACCGAAATAAGTATTTCTTTGAATTCTCTTGACGAGTCGGCTATTTATTCTTCAAGAAATTGCCTAAAACGTCCGAAAAAATTCGACATGAATTTGACAGAAGAAAAATCTAATGACGTTTGTGAAAGATTTACCAAATGCGAATGTCAGGACGATGAATTGGCGAAAACTGTTGCTGATCATACAACAGATTCCCAATCTAAAACATTTGAACAACATTTATCAGCGCACACATTCTTTCCAATTTCTGAAGAGACAGTTTTTCTTGATCCTGAACCACCTGTTCCAGATATTTTGGCATCAAGTCCTCAGTCAGGAGATTCATGGATGAATTATAGTAGCAATAGCAGTGATGACTACTCTGGCATTTCAGAGCATTTAAAAGCGGTAGCATCTGGAAAGCAAACTTGTAAGAATATTTTTGTTAATATTGTTTTTAACTAATTATATAAAATTTTAGGCAACAATAGTTCTGATGATAACAGTTCCGATTTTGAAAATAGTTTATTGGAAGATAGTGAAGAAATTTTAAGTAAATATAACAGATCAAACTCGTCACCACAATCACCAAAAGACTTTAATAATATAACACGAAGTGATCCTGTAATAATTCAAAGACCGAAAGTTCAACATCAAACAATCGCTAAAAATAAGAAATTATTAGATTTTTGTAACACAACAAGTATAAAATCGGCCATGAAAAGAGTAAGAAATGAAAAAGATGATGAAGTATCTTCGGATGATAAGATCAATTATTCCTCATCTGTAGCTAAAAAATTGTCGATAACAGCAAATATAAAAACCACAATGGCAAATTTATCTGAAGAATTGAAAGCTAAACTGGGAGAAATTGGCGCTCAAACACCGCAATTTATTACGCCACCATCTAAAGACTTAAGCGCACCAATAATTTTATCTCATGAAAATACATCAACATCAAAGAAATATTTAAAATCCAATAAGAGTAACATTAGTTGTGATAGATATAATGTATGTTGTTGTGTTAATAATGAAAATATTAATAAGAATCTTAATGAACGATCTAATGTCTCATGTAAATCTTCCAAAAATAGTGATATAGTAAATAAGCTTAGTAATAAGATTAAAGATAATAATAGCTCTTGTATTAAAAATTTCAGTATAACAAATCCAATATATAATGATAATAATGTGAGTAAATCTGAAAGTAATAGACGTTTTCCCCGTCCGTATCGAAAGCAATCAAATTATAGGACAACAGTCGCATCAAGTTCTTGTTTAAATTCTTGTAATATAAAAAAAAATGATAATTGTTCACTGGTTGATATTAGAATGATAGATTTTGCTCATACAACTTTCATGCACACAACAAATTTAAATGGTAGTCTAATATCACAAAATAACACAGCAGTTCATCATGGTCCTGATGGAGGATTTCTAACCGGAATTGATAGTTTAAATAGACTTCTGTCAGAAATAGTAAATGAAAACAATATCAATTAAGTTTAATTGCCTATGAAAAAGAAAAAATTGCAACAGGATAATTTTTTTTTGTGTCGTTTATGATGAATCATTCAATTCCTTTTATAATATTAGATTAATTTTATTTTTGCTTACTTTTGTATTATTCTAGTGAGGTTTTTTATATTATACTTTTGCTACTTTTATTTTTAGAACTTGCTCAAGATTAAGAAATATTTAAAAAATTAACATTAAAATCAGTTCTCAATTGAGAATTTCAGAAAATTTTCAAAAAAGTTCGACACTGATTACCATTTAGTAGGAAAATTTTTGTCATTTAGAAAAACACGTGTTATTATTTTAATAATGTATATATAGGCTCTATGACGGTGTTATAATAATTTTGAAAAAGCTTGTTGTGCAATTTAATACTTCGCTATTTAAATTATTGTTTGTTTCTTATATTGGTGCAGATTATTTTAATCGTATTGTATACTTTTTAGCAGTTTGAATTTTTTTTATACAACATAATTCAATGTAAATTGAAAATTTTGAATAATAAGGAGCAAAAAAAAAGGAAATATAAAAAACATTTTGTTTAATGTTTTAATTCAAAATGCTCCTATTACTTACAGCATTTTTAGTTTGATAAACACAAAAATAAATAAGTGAAAATAATGGAATTTATGCCAATCTTAAAATTTTCTTCTGACTTTTGCAATAAATAAAATTTGCATTAGAAACTAAATAATAGACTGGTATAAAATTTTAATATTTCATTTCTTAAAAAAACAAAAAAAATTATAATTAACTTAAAACAGTTTGGAAAAGCTAATCTTGGAAAATTGAGGTTTTATATTATGCCCTTAGTGCTATGAGGTTTTATATAGCCCTTACTCTATTTTAGAATGCTTTTTTTTTTTTTTTTAATTCACAATAAATTTTTGTGAATATAATGTAAATTGTCATGATTGTTAAGAATTTTTATGAATGAATGTGTAATTTGTACAAATGTGTAAAATTAAATAATTTATTTGTTAGAAATTCTGTAAATTAAAAGAAAAAAATGTTATTGTTTATGAATAGAAACAAAAATTTGTAAATTGGAGAATGGTAAAATGATTGTATACAAAAAAAAAATTAAAATTTACATAAATATGTATTTACAAAATACGTTAAACATTGAAATAATTATAGAAATACAAAAATATTAATTTAAAAATATATCATAAAGTAAATTGTGAATTTTATGTATGTATTATTTTTTCCATTTTTGAATAGTGGGTTTAGACACTATTCAAAACTGAAAATCAATATTAGCGGTAACGTATAATGAAACTGCAAATTTTAAAGTGGCAGCTTGATTCAGAAAGATTTGAATCATACCCAGATTCATACCAATCTAAATTAGGATATGTAAGATGAGTCAAAATTAGTAAAACTTTTTATTCCGCAGTGAGTAACGAAATCTCAATGGTTCGCGAATCAAAAAAAAGTTTAAGAAAATTTGTTAGAATTATTACTTTACCTCATAAATCCCGGACTAAAAGAGATAGGGGCTTCGAATAATTTTTTTTTAAAAGAAATTAATGAAAGCTGTTTTATTATGCTCCACTTCAGAATGTAATACAATATTGAAACTTGGAGTGAATAAAATTTTTTGTCTAGAAATTAATTTTTCTTCACTGTATCTCCGTAATTATATTTTCGAACTTTCTGATTTTAATTTTAAGCCACTTATTAATTTCTTTAGCTTTAATCATCCTTCTTTAATTGTTAACTTTTTCCCTGGCATATAAATAAGCTTCTCTAGCAGTAAAGCCATTATATAAAACTGTTCGCAGAAAAGTAAAGTGGCTAATGTTAGCAAGGTCTGAATATTACTGCTTATAGGTGGTTCTTTAAGCAGCAGGAACCGAATTAGTATGTATAATGAAATTTTCCAAAAACTCGGAAACATACTAAAATATCGGGGCCGTAAATAATTTTACAAATGCTTTGGACCGGCTGCAAAAGCAGTTCTTGAGTATAACAAGACAATTAATATTTGAGCAAAGACGCAAATTTGAGGAAATCTTTAAAATATTAAGAGATTTCAGGAAATTTAAAACTACCTTGGGAAATGTTACGACTCTTAACGATTTTTACTGCTTTTTCTTAATTTTATTTCATACAGTTCTCTTACATGAGTTTACTAACATGCTTTAAGTTTTCAAAAAATGAAAATTAAATTGAAAAACACAATTTTTAATGCATTTTATTCATATGTATATATTTACTCATCAATTAAAATTTAATATTTTTATAATATAATTTAAATTTATTTTAAAAATATAATGCTTTTTTTTTTATTTTGATTTTAATTGAAATATATATTTTTAATTTTTTTTTTTTCATATTTTATTTCCAAAATAATTATTGCCTAATTTTACATTTTGAAGATTGCGTGAAAAGAATATTTTTTTTTTTTTTTTGTTTTAACGAACTCTTAATAAAAGTAATTTAGATTTAAAAAAATTTTGTTAATAACAATTAAAATGTGGTTTTTTTTTTTGCACATTGCTTTTCTAAACAATATGAACGTTTACCAAAATATAGCCACAGACTAACGCCGATTTACAATTTCAGCAATTTGAAATTGTATTTGCTCAATAAGTTAAGCAAAGCGTTAAATCTGCAATTTTGATAGATGCCCCTATTATTTAATTTTTCATTATAGTATTATTTAGTTTTAGTTTAGTATATAATATGTAGGTATAAATTAATCGTTTATGATTCTAATCACAAATATATTTTTTATGATTGCAAGGTAGAAAATTTAAATTTAGTGGTGACTTAAAAAAATTTGAGTTATTTCGCCTATATTATAGACGTGTTATCATTGCAGCAATATATTTTCTAATAATATATAGCTCATTAATGATTCAAAGTTTATCTTAATTAATTTTTAACGTACATACGTAGGTTCTGTATTTCTGGCGTCATAAATATATATAAATACATACATATTGTTGTCTTTAAATAAATTTAAGTTTGAAAGCGTTTGAGTACATTATAATAAAATGGGGAGCTGATTTGTATATTCAGCATGTCGTTTTTAAGTAAAGTTGAGGGTGTTTAAAAAATTTTGTACGATTATTATTTTTATCATGAAAAAAAAATATAATGCCACTTTAGTGAAAATAAATAATATGTACATGGAATTATTAGATATCATGTACAGTTTTTATATTATTCGACAATAATGTGTTTGACAAAAGTAGAAAGAGGTAAATAAACCGTTAAGGCAATCAATTTTATATGTGCATATGAGCACTAACACATGATAAATTTTTTGTTTTTGAATTTTACAGTTATTAATAAGAAGAAAAATTTGGAGCTGGTTAGATTTTTCATATTTATAATTGAATATTTTGATTTTCTGATAAGATTATCCCTTGATTTTCTCTCATTTGGTCAATATACCGAGTGATTTTGTGACCTTTAAAAGCAAAGTTTTGAACGTTTCCAACCGCACTGTCATAAATTTGGGATACTCTCAACATGGTCTTTTAATTAGAGAGAGATAATGTGAAAACTCTCTCAGCTTAATGAGACTGTTACTTAATTTTTTATAACAAGCTGTTATGTTTAAGTTAATTTTAAAAACGGTGGCATGATTTCCTGTGTTTTAAGAAATAATAAGTAAAAACCAGGACATGAAAATTCTTACAAGTACAAATAATTAAATCTATATTTATATATTCATATAGAAAAATGGTATGCTAATTTTAGAACTAGAAAAACTTAAAAAAGCCAAATTTTTTACAAAATTTCAATTATCATTATAGGTATATTCACAAAATTAATAGAATAAATTTAGTTTTTAAAAAATTTCTTTCAATAATATTCTAATAAATAGCTTTAAAATTCGGCCTTTCAATTCCTCTTTGTCAATTTATTAAAAATACATGTAAGGTTATAAAATAAGAAAAACAATAAAAATTATGTTTCCATAACGGGGCAATTAAATCTTAAATAACATTTAAAAAACAATTTCATAACAATTAAAAATTTAAAGTATGTATAAGATTTTAATAAATACAACAATATTATGTAATATCACCTGTTTAGAGCAAATCCTAAATCCATTTCTCTCCAAAAAAATATTTAAGCTTCGGGGAATTTGAATGAAAATCAAATGAATCTTCTCCTGAATAATTTGAAAATTTTAATTTAGAATAGTTCTACTCTAGACAGACTATATGATATTATGTAATATGCAATATAAATTCTTTGAAAATTATTTTAATTTAGAAACTACACTAATCAACATAAAACAATTTAAGCTTCTCATTTTAATTTTGTTATTTAAGATAAATTTAGTAAGAATATAAAATTTTTTATAATTTATTTTTTACAAGAAAATTAGTTTAATGAAATTAATATTATAGTTTGTTATATTATTGATATATCTACAGGATGATTCAGTAATAAGTATACAATATTATATAATATCCGAAATCAAAGCACTAGATACAGTTGTCGAAATACAGGATTTTAAGAATATTTAATAAAATTTTTATTTGTAAAGCTGGTAGGAGCTTCAAATAAAATGTTTTTGAAAGAGCTAATAAAGTGGTTGAAATCAACATATTATACTCTATTTTATATTTTACATACTTTCGGAATACCATGCGTTGTAACTTTAGAAGAATTAAAATTTTATGAAATTCCAAGAAATTCTTTTTCGTTATTTCAACTTTAATTTTTCCATGTGATTTAAGAGACATAGGAAAAAAACATTACTGAATCATCCCTGTTTACATAAATGCATAGTATCAAATAGAGTGACCATAATATACATTTATACTCGTAACTTAAGTATCTTGTCTATCTAAGTCATAGCGAATTCTCTAAGACTACATATTTATTTATGTTGTTAGTTTTTATTCAATAATATTTCATAAATTAATTATAAAAATATTTTGGCAGCATTATTTTACAAGTGCACAAAACCACAATTTTTGAAAACATATTCGGTTGGTATCATTAAAAAAAATTTTTTTTTTTTTTTACAATTTATTTGTCGAAATTTATGTAATAATAATAATAATAAGGGTTAGTTAAAAACTAATTACAATTTTTATTTTGTTTGAGTTTTTAACTCATAAGTATGTGTTGTATTTCTTATATATTATTATGTATAATATAATTATGTATGTACGTGTGATTCCTTCTTTTTATTCAAAATTAGATTTAAAAATTATTTTCTATCATAGAGCGCCTACCAAAATGCAGATCTAATGCCAACATGACTTATTTATCAATATTGTTTTAATTACTGAATAAGTCAATTTGACGTTAAATCTATATTTTGGTAGATGGCCATATTGTGATTTCAAAATTGTAGTAATTATGATATTTACATACTATTCAGTTTATAAGCTGTAGTTGCTGAATTATGTAGTAACACAGTATCACTTATAGTACAGTATGTATTGAAATGTTTCATATTTTTATTTATATAGTATACAGTAGCTACATTATGTCATAATGTCCATGTATGTATCTTTTTTTAGAGCTTTTCAAAATTACATTTGCATGTCAAGCATTTTTATTTTATACAGAGAAAATTTTTTAGTTCATTTCAATTTAATAGTATTTATGTATGTATGAATGAAATCTGTCTACTGCGGTAGAGTTTGATTGAAGTTTATTTCTTCATTTCCTTGAGTTGTTCTTGAACGAAGTTGTACATTTTTTAATATATTAAAATTAATATCCGGAAAGTTTTTATTTGTAAAATGAATTGCCCTATAGTATTTTGTAAAATAAATCAATTAGTTTCCATCAGTTCATTAATACTGTGTACAGCTCCAGTTTCTTTCTTTCATTAAATTAAAAATTAATGTATATGATTAAGTCCGTACATGCATACATACATAAGTATTTTATTTTAAAGTATCTAACATTTTACAAGTCTTTTAAAATATTATTTTCAATTTTTTTTTTTTGAAAAGTCACCAACACTTTTTTTTACCTTTTATATTACAATTACTTAAAAATTATTAGAATTAATTTACAATTCTTTTAATTACTTTACCTTCTTTTTTCACAAACGTTTTACTTCCATAAAACAACAATAAACTTTCTAAAAGATTACTTCTTGACACATACAATTTTCATTCACCGAATTTTAGCATTTCTCTCGAAAAATTATGTTCGATTCGACAGCCATAATTAACCCTAACTACTGAAGAGGAAATATATTTTTCTCATGACAGGACCTATGACAGATATTTAAGTAAACAGTATTACTTTTAATGTAAAACTATCAATTTTAATTATAACATGCAAATTACTGATTAACAAAAATGTACAGAGGCTAAAATTTCAATTCAATGCATGCTTGTAATACAAATGTGGACTGTAGCCTGAAGTAAATTATTCATTTTAAGTGGTGGTATCTCTGTAATTTTATTCCATAGCATATACGACTATTAAACCGAGTAAGAGAAAACAAAAGCAAATAAATATGTATAAATGTATGTTTACTTCACCAGGTATAAATTCTGATAATCAAAAGATAAAGCTTACATTCAGTTACCTTTTTAAATAAAGGTTACTCTTTTTCTAGTTTATTTAACTGAAAGTAGGAATACATTGGAAAAATAAAAATTGTTGTCGATCAAATCCATTGTTTCTTAAAATAGCACATTTCCCTAAAATAGTTTGAGTTTAGAACTTTTATTTGTACGTTTTTTTATATGTACGTTTTTCTTAAAATTTAAATAAAATTCATAATCGAAACTCTACCATAATCGAAATTCGTTCAATATGAAAATTTATTCAATCGTTTAATTAAATCCGTAACAGAGGCTTATATTTTTTCTCTTATAAAAAATATATATTCTAATAGCCACTCATATGATAGGAGGAGCTGACTATACTCTTTAACTTTTTTTGAAGCCTTTTGTCGAGACGTAGGATGCAATAAAACCAGTTTTTCATAAGTTTTGAAACTGTTCGAGAATTTTTGAAGCAACTCGATAAAAACATTTTTGAGCATTTTTTCTCAAACCTTATTTTATTTTAACTTAAAACCTGAAATTAATATTAATTAATAAAATAATAACAATAAAAGTAACCGTAACAGTTTAATATTTTGTTAAACTATTGTAATAGACTTAATATAACAGTTTTTAACAATGCAAAAAAAAATTTTAAAATTATTTAAAAATTAAATATTTCCTTCCGAATTAGATCATTTTCGAGTATCTATGTTTTCATGTTTTTACAAAAAACTTATATTTATTTATACAAATTAAACTTTTAATAAATTAATCATTTAATTTAAAAGAAGAAGTGAAAGGAAACAAAATAAATTTAACAAACTATGAAAAAAAAATTTAGTGTTCATTTTGCGAACAAAGCACACTTCTCTATTTCTCACTTATAAACTCACGTACCTTATGAATGTTATTGAATTATGGAAGAGCTAAGTTTATTGTGAACTAATAAGCAATTATTGTAATTAAAATAATTTTCAAATTATTCTCGAAGAAAATTGCAACGTACCATTGTGAATTTTCGAAGTTTTTTTTTGTTTTTAAAGCTACATAAAATTAAAATATAATATATACGTATGTTTTATATATAAAAACTACTTTGAAAATTAATAACTTCAAATAATTTTTTTCTTTAGAAGAATAAAGAGGTAAGAAAAATATTTCTACAAATTAAAAAAATTCTTATTTTCAATTATCGATTAAATTGTGCTTCATGAGAAGCTAAAGCATTTTCCAACAGTTAACAACATAATATTAATGCTATTAGTTTACCATTTTAATATTTTAATAACAAGTTTTTTTTTTTATTTTAATAATTATATATTGTGTATAAGTATGTACACATAAATCGATAAAGTTTAAGAAGAATGTTTACTTGGCCGATTTGAGCCGATACGTCGTTCGCCAGATTCGTTTTCCTAAAAAAAAAAATGCAAAAAGACAAAAAATTATTGTTAGAAATTTTTAAAATTTATGTAGAATTTGAGGTCAAAGTGTAAATGTTAAGATTTATAAATAACGTCATCATTTGCGTAAAAATATTAACAATTTTTTAAACTTATTGCTAAAAAATGTATTGTTTTAAAACGTTTCGGAAATATTGAAGAAATAATTGTTTTCATAAAATAGATTTCGAATTTGATGCGTCATAGCGAAACAATGCTATTTGAAAAATTATGGCAAATATAAAGCAATAAAAGATACGTTAATATTACGATATTCTTAAATGCATTAAAGTAATTTAAATACAAATTATATTTTAAAATAAAATAATATATGCATTTACTACTTTTAGTTTAATTACAACTATATCTTCAGTTCTACTACTGTAGATTTTATTTAATAAATGCACACAATTGCTTCTATTGTGTTGCCAAATTTTCCTAAATTTTTCCTCAGGCTAGACATAAAATAATAAACATTTGAATAACTTACATCTGAATATTCACTTGATCTACTATTTGCTGATTCTTTACCATTTTTTCGCTTTTGATTTTCATCAATTCCATAATCGTCTTGTGAGGAATCACTAAAATAAATAATTTTTTTTTCAGATTAATAAAATCAATATTTTAATAATTTAAATTTCATGCGTTCAATATTATCAAATTTATTATCTTGAAGCGACAATCACTAAAAATCAATTGAAAATAGTTAAACATCAATTCCATTTTTTAGAACCTCAAAATATTAAAAATTTCATAAAATTGATCGTGAATTTGAACAAGAAGCAATTACGAAACGCAAGATTTTTGCAGTGCGAATGAAAATATCGAACGCAATGCTTAATATATAATTTTACCTTCTATAAATACCATCACGACCATCTGTATCTAAAAGTGGTTGTAAGTCTTCTCCACTACTGTGTTTTAGTAAATCAACATTTGAAATAGAATTGTTACCCTTCGGCATTGTTATTTCACTACCTTGATGATGAGATGGATCTCTTTCACTATCATGGCACTCACATTGGCATTCTTCGGGTTTAACATAGTTATATTGAACATTACCTGCTTTATTAATATTATCTACTGTTTCTTTCGGTAAAGCAGTAATCCGTTTAGGCGGTTTCCTTTTTTCAGGTATATTTTCAAAGTTTATCCATTGCCCTGATGTAATCGAAGTAGCTGATGGTTTTCTGGGAGGTAGGGGTGGCGGAGGTGAAGACGCAATTTTATCGTCTTTATGTGATCTTACGTTATCATAAGCATTTTTTCTTTCTATAGATGAATGATCTTGTGTTATATCTTTAGGTGTTGTAATAACACCAGAGATGGTAGAAGACGTAGTAGTAGTAATACTCCCCCTAATACCTTGTTCAGCGAATTCAAACCAACTTTTATTACTAGCATTTGAAATTCTTCGTGGTGATTTAGTGGTTTTTTTTTGTCTATTTTGTGCACTCGAGTCTTTTCGCGGCAAGCTTATACGGAGTTTTTCCCCCCGAACTGGGACATGGGTTCCATCAGAATCTGGGGTAACAATTTCAAGAAATTCTTCTAAATGTGCTGGGTTCATTGGCGTTGTTGAACGGGGCCGATCTAATGAAAATGTTTTTACTTCCATATTGGCTCGTTCCTTTACAGGTATTATAGAAATACCTTGGGGTCGTTCCTCAGGTAATGTGGTTGGAACATACGGTAATTCATCTTCGAAAGATAATTGTGAAACTAAACCAGTACTTTCATGATCATCAATAATTCCAATGTGTCTGGATAAATGCTTTTTTAAGCGATTTGGGTCAGCTTCAGCATCCTTTTCGCTTTCAGATGTGTCTACTGGTTCATCCGTTGACGTAACTGATAAACGATCTGACACATTTGGCTGTGGACATAATATATCAGATGCAGGTGAAGGCGGTTTTTTAGTATCTGCTATTATAATTTCGTCATTACCATCGATGTGTGCCACAGACGCGCTTTCAGAATCACTTCGGTTAACTTTATTAGGTTTGCTTTCAGATTGTATGGATTTGGTTATATCTAGGTTTTGAAAATATTTTGAATGTCTATAGTCATCCTCCTCAGTTCTTTTGCGGAATTCGCTAGATGAATCTTTTCTTCTTAGAATAACAGATGGTCGTTTTTCAATACTGTCCGAGTGTCTTAAGGAGTTCCCATGTTCTTCCGTCGAGCTGTCGTTTTTAACAATAGAATTTTTATAAAGTGCATCTTTTTTTAAATCTTCTACACTATCTTTTTTCTTCCCGTCATCAGGTCTTCTAAGTACCGTGTCAGTTCTGTGCAAAGAATCTTTCGTTTCGGCTGGACTTTCTGGTATTGAATTTTGTTCGGAGAGTTGACTAGATAAGCTTTCTGTTTTTGACAAACTGAATTGTGTACTAAATATTTGCTCCTGGCTACCAGATCCTAGACGAGTGGCAAAAAGGATTCTTTTTTTTTCTTTAGAAATTGCATCTCCATTAGACTGCATTGCTGGCGCATTATTCAACGGTTGTGGTTTAGATTCATGAAAAATGTGCTTTTGTTGTTGGGATTGTTGTACTGTAACCGTTGTAGTGATGGGTTTTGGAAAAGATTGTTCATTGATGTTTTTGGGAGTGATTCCATTTTCTACTACAGGGCTTTCAATAACGTTATCCAAGCTAGGTTTAGATATCCTACGACTATTGTTTGCTGAATTTTCCGATAATACTGTGTCTTGACTTTCCTGAGAGCTGTGATGATGAACTTCTAGGCTCCATGTTCTTTCTGATTGATTAACATCGTCTGGCAAAGTATGTATTGCATCTAGATTTTCTATTTTTTTTGCGCTTTCAACTTGTTTATTTTTTAATGGTTTTGCTTCAGTAACTGTAGATGGCTTGTTATGCTCAACAACAGCTATCACTTTCTTAGAAATTATATCGACTGATTCGACAGAATCACCTGTTGGTATATTTCTAACATTGGAGGAAGAATTATCAACATTATCTGAAGTTATTTTTGTCGTAGGGGCAGACATTGGCCTAAGTTGTTCCTTTTGTTTAATAATTGCTTCTTGCGTTATCCCAGGAAGATTTTTCCGCGTTTCTTTTTCTTCGGGAGGTGTATGCAAAGGAATGCGAATTCCTGTGCCGTCAGGTGGGGTGTCATAATATCTTAATCTACTTGTTGGTCTTGATATTTCTTGATTATTCGCTGATTGAATCTCACTATTAAATTTAAATTCAACCTGTGAAATTCCATCTAAAGTTGACATTGTTTCATGTTCAATAGGAGAGGAACTCTTTGATTTGCTACCACTTCTTCTAGGTTTAAAAATAGCCAAAACGGATTTTTGCTTATTTGGTGTTCCAGTTTGTGAATGAGATGAACTTCGTTCATGACTTTTACTACGAGATCTATCGCGTGGCGAATCTGGTGAATCTTTGGTTTTAAATAAAGAACAAAATGAACTCTTTCTTGAAACACCAGGAATAGCTGGAGATGGAGATCGACTATCACTACCTAATTTAACTTCATTTGGTAAAATAGTATGCCTTGATTGTCTAGGACTAGAATAATTTCGGGATTTTTCAGTGTCTGTCGTTAATTTTAAAGTTGACGGCTTGTCTGCAGAAGCGGTTTCATTGCCCGCAATTTCGATCATTTTCTCATGAGGTGCAATTCCTTGGTCCGCATATAGATGATCTGGTTTTAAATTTATTCTTATATATTCAGTACCAGTAGGTGTTACACCAACAATTTTTTTAGTTGAATCTCTTCTTTCATTAGTTCCACCTTTTCGTTGCAAAAGTTTGCGATTTGAAGTACTCTTTGCATTTAATTTATCTTCTTCAATCTTTGAAATTTCATCGAAAGCTGGTATTTTCTTTTTCAAATTTTCTTGATTTGGCAGAGTTTTTTTTTTAGGAGAGCTTTCAATTTTTATACCTTCGGCAAGTACAACTTGCGTTAAGTCTTTTGTTCTCGAAAGTAGAACATTTTCTAAAATTTCTGCAGTTTGACCTACTGAATTTGCAGCACTTTCAACCACATTTTCAAGAGGTTTTGGTCCGCAAAATGATGTTTCCATTAACATACGATGAGGTGACGGTGATCTTGACACACCAGAAACTGCAGATATTGCTGATAAACGACTAACTGCACTACCCTGGCTACCTACGCTTGATACCCGACTTGTTCTCCCTGATATACATAAAAGTGCTGCAACTTCAGAACTTGCCGAATCTTTTCTTTGATGTTGTTGTAAATATAGTTGCTGATCATCATATTTGAATATGATTGGAGATTTTCTTGCCTAAAACAAAAAAAAAAGTTATTATAATAATATTAACACGGTTTATTTAATATTTTTCAAATGAAATAGTTTTACTTGTTGTTGTTGCTGTTGCATTTTCTCTTGTTCTTCACGCTTTTGTTCTGGATCCATAAAATATAATTCTTCAGTTGATGTTCTCAAATCTAAAGCACCATCTTCACGGAAACCAAGACTAACCGCTTCCTGTAGTGTTCCGGTACCAACCTATATGCGTAAAAAGTTTTATCTCAATATTTCCACATTAAAAACATTGATAGCGAAAAACAAAACATTTAATTAACTAGTATACAAACATTTACAATCTTTCAATAAGTTCATTCAGCAAGCATTTAAATTAAAAGCAAATAATTGTGTTATTAAAAAGTCCAGAATTGACTTCGAGAATTCAACTAAATCCTTATATAAAGTTTGAAAATACATCAAAGAACTAAAAGAAAAACATGAAGTAACACACGTATTGTAAAGAAGAGTTTTAGTGTTTAAAGAAAAGTTTTAGAAAAATGTAATAAGTGAATTTTTAAACTATCTTTAAGTTTAAAAGATGAATTAGGTATGTATGCATGTGTATGAATTAACAAAAACTCAGTTTAATACATTATGTCGCTCAGATAATAAGAGAAGTTGTGTACATACATACATACATACATATACGTAATATAAGTATAAAAAAATTTATTTTTATCAAATTGTAGGGAAAGTAACAAAAATACCTGAATAAATATCGTAATACCAAAAAATATTTTTTAATTTTAATAATTAAAAAGTTTAAATAAATGTTAACACATAAATATTAAAATTCTTATAAAATAATGTTTAACAATAATAATTTTAAGGTGCGAATTGACTTTCGAATTCAAATTCTTTAATTACATACTACAATACTATAAATAATTCGTAGAATTATTAGCAGAATAATTCGCTCATTTGCTGCAACAGTAATATAACTCGAAAAATACAATTTCTGAGTTATTTATGTGAGTTAGTTTATGAGAGAGATAATCGCTTAAACATTTCTTTTTTAGTATAAAAACACTATTTCTGTCGAAAATTGAAAAATTCTTTTGAAAATTGTTGCTTACAATAAAATATAAAAAAATATTCTATTACGAGAAAAACATATTAATTTTAACACTTTAAAAGTAGTTTTTCTTAAATGTACAAATTTTGAGTTATATGTTATTGTGGGCAGCACATGAGTGATTTAAACTGACATCATGCTTTTAAAATATACTAAGAAAAAAGTTGCACTCAATTTTTTAAATTGCCAGCAGTTTTCGCATTTTACAAACATTCAATAAGATTATAATTTTATTTTATAGGTTTAATTTTTTATTTGAACTAAAAAGTTTTAGTGTTGAAACAATGGCGCTTAGCTATAAACGATGGTTTTAACATTTTGAAATTCCAATACTATCGTAAATGATGAGTTCCTATGGGATGTAAACGAGAAAAAAGGGTATTTTATATTTATTTGCTAGTTTTTACATAATATTGAACCGGAAAATAACTATGACGTTTAAATAATTTGTGTCTCATCTTAATATAATTATGGACGTTTAAGATATTTTGAGACGGAAACAGGAATTTGGAGATCTCTTAGAAGAATAGTATGTCATTTATGATTAAATAAATTTACTCTAAAATGAATAACAGCGAATAAAAACAAAAAAATAAAAAAATATCATAAAAATGGTATAAAATTAATAGAATCAATATGAAATCATAAAATTTTAAGAACTATAGCTGTTTTCTTACTTTTAATTTTAAGAATAAAGCACATAAATACACATATATGTACATTGTATATCAATGTACTTAAAAGCCTTATAGTAAACGCTTTGATTTGAAATAATATTGTACATTTATTCGAAAGATTAATTCATCACCTGTTCAAAAACATTTTCGGGACTGCTCTCTCTACTATCTTCATGTTGTGATGAACTAGATGCTCGACTAATATCTATCCGTGGTGTTAATGGTGCTAAACTTTGTAATGGAGCTCTTAGAGGATGATCATGAATTGAATCCTTACTATGTAATAATGGTGGCTTTTTGGATACTTTTATTGGTGATATAGTTTTATTCGAACTATTATTTATCTCCGAAGACTTTGTTATATTTCTATTTATTGCACTAGAAGCAGTTTCCATTGCGTGAATTGTGGGTGATGGATTTGCAGTACTTAAATCTTTTTGTTCGTGCGGTTGAATATTTGAAGATGATTTGCCAAAATTACTCGTTTCAGGATTTATCTACAAAAGTATACAGGATTTTTTTTTTGTTCTTTGAAAATGAGATGATTTTATGTATTTAAAAGACTTGTATGAATAATTTAAAACTAAAATATAGAGGAAAGAAAAAAAAGAATATTAAATCTCTACAGCAAAATAAATCAAATCTAAAATTAATGATTTAAATAAAAATCTTTATAAACAACATAATTTATTAAAAAGTAATCAAATTATCAAAAATTATGTTATGATCTAGCGTTGACATCTAGCGGTACATTTCCTAATTTTACGTTGTTTTCTTTAAAACTAATCATGACACAATGATTTGTTGCTCATGGTTCAATGATTATTTTTCTTTCTTTGATGAAATTTATGCGTTACAAAATATGTAAACAGGCTCCGTACCGAAAAAACTAATTGAACTATTGAGCTGGATTCACTGATTCGTCGCTTTTGCTTATGTATTTTGTATGAAAATTTGAATTTTTGTTATTCTCTTCAAAAGTTGAATCAACTTCAACTTTAGTGCGGAGGTTTTCTAAAAATTTAGCGTTTATCTTACGTATACTGAACTATTCCAATTACATATAATTCTTGTCAAAAAAGTAATAAATGTATCATAATAAAACAAACGATCAGCTTTTCAACAACAAATAGCTCAGCTCAAAAACGACGAACCAATGAATCCAGCTTAAGTAAAACAAAACATGCTATGATCCTAAACTTTTGACTGAGGCGGTACGTTGTAGCGATAAAATTATTTATGTAATACATACTAATTTAAAGTTTTTAAAATATGTAATAAAACAATTTTTGTAAAATATTTAAAAAAACAAATAAAAAAGCATTAAAAAAATAGATAATATAGTCTTTAAAAAAATGGGAAGGTTTAAAGAGAGAAATAAACTTTCTCAAAAGCTATTTTCCATTGTTAACGAAATATAAATAATGATGACGAATGAGTAATGACAATTATTGTTTTGCAATCATTTTAGAGTAAACATAACGTGTAAATATGAAAAAGTAATTGTAGTATAGTATTTCATGTTAGTTGATATGGTACCAACTCTGCCGTCATAAATGTCAAAATAATTGCGTGTGCTACTTCTGAAAGGCTTTTCATATGATGTAACGACCGTTATCGATAACTTTTAAATTAAAAGTACTAAAAAAGTGAATTTTTCATTATATTGTTTAAAAAAATATGATTTTGTTTAAAAAATGGCCAATGTTGTTATTATTCAAATGGAGTATGACCAACACTAAGCGAGATGAAAAAAAGTGGTTGTAAGTGTAAATTATTTTATTTTGATATAAGTTTGTATATGTATACGTAAAAAATAATTTATTTTATTCGTTGAAAAATTAATTTGTTTTAATTTAGGATCTAAAAGTATCTTGCGAAGCTGAGAAAGCGGCAAATACCTACAAAGTGCTATTATTATTGTTTTCAATGGAATATTATTTTTCTCTTCCCTAGGCAGCCTGGAATGGAAAAAATTGCAAAGTGCTGAAACATAAAATATGTATGTACATATATTTACTGTGGGTAGAAGAAACAAAAGTCGTCTGGCTAAACTGACTATCCTGCAGAAATCCAAGTACACAAGTAAATAGACACAAAGGATACAAAAATATGTACTATTGGTTAGATAATGAAAAATGGATAAAACTTTTGTTCCGGAATAAGTGTCAAATCTCAAGGATTTACAAGAAAAAATACAGAGATTATAACGAATTTTCACGAAGTTTTTACTTGCTCAAGTCTTATAATTTATAATTTTCTAATTTGCTATTTCGAATTTTCAAAAATTCAACTTTATCCAAAGCTTTTTTTTATCCAAAGCTTTACAAAGTTTGATTAGTATTTATTAGTACTTATTAGTATTTTAAGCTTTTGCCAATAAAAGTCAGCCAAAACATAAGGTATAAATATATAAATTAAGGAGCATATTTTGAATTCGGTTTTAGAATCTGATAATATTTATAAGTAGAGCTTTAGAAAACTCGGTGGCATTAAAATATAAAACCGAATTTTTTAAATTTAGTTTTATGTTATAATCCTATTGAGTTTTAATTATAACAGATTCTTCTTTGCATTAAAAGGTGAAATCAAGCTCGAAAAGCGCAAGTATAGCTTGAATTGCATATTGCTAATTAGTATATTTTTGGGCAAAAGAGCTATTATTGTTACAAAAATAAAATAAATAAAAATCATAAGTAAAAATAAATAAAACAAAAATATAAAAAATAAACTTAATTAATGAGTCTCAAGGGATCTATTGATTTTATGGTATTAATTGCGTTATATTTGTACTTTTATCGATAAAAGTAAATAATGTCTAATTGCCTTAGTTAAATTTTGTACAAATTTCGTCCAGATATTTTGAATCGATATAAAAGTTTTTGTAAACAGACAGATAGATGGACAGACAAAGTAAAACGAAAAGCACCCTTATTATTTTTGAACAATTTGCAGGTAGATATTATTCAAAAACACTATTTTGGAAACCGAGCTGCTATTATTGTCTTAAATTAACTTTTTGCGTACCGTTATATAGATCCATTTAGTGATAAACCAAGTTTCGAACATCAATTTGTTCTAACTTCAATTGCTTCTAAATTGTTATAGATATTTGTTAGAATTTTTTTTTTATTTGGATTTTCTTTAACCCTCCGAAACTCTTCCCCTAGACGTTTCCATATATTGTTATAATATTTTGGTGATTGTAATTAAAAATGAAGTGAAACATTTGAGTTGCTGATCGTATTTTAGTTTGAACTTTTCTTAGAACTTTGAAGAATTGTCCTCTTAATCGTAAATTTCGTAAAATTTATATGAATACCAAATTTTTTTTCTCAAGGAATTCTCAAGGTTTTCAAAATAAAAGAAAAAAATTATAATAAAATAATATATAAACAAAATTAACACACTTAAATAAGTAAATACATATATATATAGATAATATTCTAGGAATATTATGCAAATCCCTGTAGACTTTTATAACATCAAACAAAAAAACAAAACAAGACAATTAAAAAATTTAAAGCAATCAATTTACTTACACCTTTTTGTTTATCAGTATTTAAACTTGTTTGTGTTTCATAAGCACTCGAACTAATATTTTCAATTTCAGGATCTTGATGTGTTTGATTATCCTCGAATGATTTTTCAAAAGAAGCTATTGGAGCTGGACCTAAACGTTTTTGTTTACGAGGATCAAAATTTTGCATTTTTCCGACTTAATTTTTTAAGAACAAAATTATTAAATAATGTTCACAATTATTTAGTTTTTAATTTTTCTTTGATGTAGATAACAAAATCTTATATTTTTCTCATTTTAGAATTTTACAGTAAAATTTTAATTATATGCATATTATGAGTGCATATTATGATTGGCAGCACTATATCAAAAAATAATAATTTTTTTTTGTACTTCTCTACATTTCATTCAATACAAGGATTTGATGTGCATATCAAGTAAATGTCACAGTCATAATCAAGTACATATACATACATTAGACATATACATATTTGTAGTAATAAGTGATTTTTTAGTTTTTTTTAAAAATTATTGTTATAGGATTTTATTTTATTGAAAATTAAAATACTTTTTCACTACAGTTTCTCTAAAACTCTAAAGTGGGGAGAAGGATGATTTTTTGGGGTTTTTTTAAGAAGCATATTGCTTAAGGGGGAGAATTCGGGTATGTAGTAGTTCCAGAGAGTTAAGAAAATCAAATTTAAAAAACTCAGTTTAACAAATATAAGCAAAATTGCTCTCTTAAGAGATATAAATTAAAAAAAAAGAGATAAAATACCCATAACAGCTTCAAAACTCTTGTGAATATGTTTGTTAAGATGATATGGCTAAGAGATGCATATGGCACCTTTATATTTTACAAGACGTTTAATAAATTAAGACACTCGCAAATAATATGGCAAATATTCTCTTCTAGCATTTTTTAATTTGAATTTTAGTCAACTCTAGAAAATGTCATACATGCAAATTACAAAATATAAAAAAAAACTGTCTTCATGCCTGCCAATGTGCACAATAAAAAAATTTGATACAACTTCAAAATAACTTAAAAAGTAATGATATATGAAATTTCAAGCTTTTTTTTTTTTTGAATAATAATGCTAAAAAGTGAAAAGTTAAAAAAATTACCCTATAGTTAAAATATAATATATTTCGGAAATTGTGAAAGATTATGGTGTTTTCCTCTTATATATGCTCAAAGTAAAATATTCAAAAACCAAATCCTTTGTTAATGAGACAAAAATAAACGCAAAAGGTGAGCTTTGAGGATTAAATTACAAACATGTAATTATTTCACATTTTTTTAGTAAATTGATTAAACTGGCATTCTAATGGAGAAATGAAATAAATGAAATATTTTGGAACGGGCGAAAATGGGTTAAATCAATAAACAAACACAGACATAATAATGAGGTTATAACAATAAAATTACTCCATATATTCTTCCTCTTGCATATGGTAGAGCTACGAAAAATTTATGAAATTTTGAAAAAAATATAGTTATCTGAAAAAAGATCTCATAATAGGTGAAATACTACTATTAGTTAAATGAAAATTGCAACATTTTTATTCTTGTAACAATTCTAATTCGTTGAATTTAAATTAAGCTAATTAAGTAGCAACTTTTTACTTATACTTTATATTTAAAATTTTATAAAACTCATTGAAACAATTTACTCTTTTATTAATCAAAAACTAATTAAAAAAAAATTATTCACAATTACAACATATTTATTATGAAATGAACATCACTCAAAAATTAATTCACAATATCAAAAAGTTTATCAATCAAAAAATAGTTGACAATCATAAATCGAAACATCAATTACTTATTGTTAAATTTTACCAATTGTCAAATATGTGTTGATAATGGACAATGATAATTCCATTGCAAGCATAATTATTAATGGGTTAAAACTTAAAATGTATAATTTTAACTTCATCTTTTTATAGTTTTTTTTCTATACTTCCTCATACACATAATGTTAACCAACTTTAATCTTTATACATAAAGAAATATACAGATATGCATGTATGTATGTATGTACATATTATATGTATATTAGTGTAGTATAGTATAAGAATGTATGTATAGTTTTTTGCATCTATTTGCAAAAATTGAAAAAGGATTTTAAATAGGATTATAAGAACAAAAAAAAAAAAGACAAAAAAAAAAAGAAACAATTGGAATAAATAGAGTAATGAACTGTTTTTTTTTCTTTTCAAGCATATGCAGCACACAAACATAGATGTGTATATATGTAAGTACTTACACATATTACATATATTATGTATTACGGAATTCTATTTATTATAATTTATAGATAGAGTAATATTTGCATGATATATTGTACATATGTATACATACTTAAGTAAAAAGTTGGACATGGGTATGAAATGAAATTTAATTATACATTATATTTGTATATATATAATATAATTATGTATATTTAATATTATTTCTGTAATTAATTTAAAAAAACAAAACAAAAAAATCCGAGCAACAACAAATTGTAAAAATGTGTATGTATGTATGTATTTATATAATGTATATACCTATATAAAAAATATATAGAAAAAAAGGCAAAATACATAATGTAAGAAGTATATCATATATGTATATACTTACAAGCAAAACCTAAGATAATTTTAACAATATTATGTATGTACATACCTAAATATTATCAATTTTTATTGAATTAAATTTTAAGACATCAATTATTACATTTAATTATTTTAACTTCTATAATTATTTTAACTGTTATAATTATCATAACTGTTATAATTATTACAACTCTTATAATTATTACAACTGTTATAACTATTATAACTGTAATATTATTCTAATTAAAATAGGAACAATTTTTTTTTGGTTGAGAAAATAATGTGTGACAATTAAATAATATGAAAAGTATGTTGGCTTTTGAACCAAAAATACACTATTATGTATATACTTAACGCATATACATAAAGTGCAAAAATAATAAAAAATAAATTTTCTTATGTATTTATTAATGAACATACATATATATGTCTATATGTATGCGAGTATTTATTTCAAACTTATCTCAAATGAACTATAAATTGAGCAGCTCGTACAGAGCGTATATAATTAATTTAATATTAGTTTATTATTTAGTAATTATAATATTTGTTTAGTATGCATATTATTATATTGTATAAAATATACAATATTTTTGTGTGTTTTTTTTTTAAATATTTAATCTTGGAACGTGTAAAACTATTTTAAGTTTGTAAAAACAAACACGAAATTTATCACGAAATTTTCAATATACATTTTATACAAAAGCATCACCGATTTATCGATTTTTCAAAAATTTACTACATATATTTTTTTTTAACTCGGCAATATTTTATTAAACACAAAATGTGTGTATTTTTATGTATGTACGTATATACAAATGTACTATATTATGTATATACTTATGTATATATATATATATATCTGTCACCAATTTTTAAATATACTCTTATATATATATATATATATATTTTTATATATATATATATATATATATATGTATTAATTATATATACATACATATATCATAGTTTGACATTAAAACATTTTTTCTAAGCCTTGGTTTTTCTTTTTGAATTTTTTTCTTTTTTTTTTTTTTTTTTGCTTTTGTTTTTGGCTTACTTTAACGCAGTCATTTTTAAGTTATTAGTGGAGCACATTTACAAAATTAATTATTTTATTTATTATTTATTGCATACATTACATTTATAATATTATTTTCTAATTTATTAATATAGGCATAAATATGTATATATACATACTTTTTTTTATATCTCATTATATTAAAATTTTTTATGTTATATTTAAATTATAGTTGTACATAATGATTAAACTATGAATACCCTAATGTAAGTATCGTATTTTATAAGACGATGGTACAGAAGTCAAACTGAATTGGTTAAGAAAACTATTTATTATTTAAATATAAGTATATTTACTTGTTTTCCTTTGTACGAGTACATATTATATATATATATATATATATATATATATATATATATATATATATATATATATATATATGTATATATATATATATACATATATATAATAAATGGATGTACATACATAAATTTACAATATATTTACCAGTAAATATATACATATATATACATTCATACATACATATATATATAGCTATATATCAATAACTATGATTAATTCTATATAGATACCTATATTGTTGTGTAGTATATACTAATAGTGAAAAATTCAAGTACATTTATTTCATTACAATTCTATGTATGTGCATTTTTTTTTTATTTTTTTTTTTTATAAAAAATCAATTAACTATATAGACATACTTTAATCTTTTTTTTTAAATTTTTTTAATTTATAAGTAAAAATAATTATTTTTTTTTGTTTTTAATTTATTTAGTGTATTTTTTTTTTGTTAATTTTAATTTTAAAAACAAAATTTCTCTATATTTTATTTCTTTTTATGTTTTAACGAAAAATTTATATACATATATGTATATTAGTTTATATGAATACACACACACAATAAATTATCATATCTTCTCTCTATATATACGTATATTGTAGTATATAATGTACAAATATATAATATCCACATAAAAATGTATGTAAAATTTTATGCAATGCAAGTATAACACTAAAATATTTTTAAAAATTTTTTTATATTAATTTTAAAAGTTTTTTTAATTTTAAAGACATTTTAAGAAGAATTTAAAAAATAAATAAATTAATAATAATATTTGCAACCGGCACGGCACGTTATTTAACATCCCTTATTCAAACGAAGACTAACTTCAAAATCAATTTATAAATATATACAAAAAAGAAAAAAAAATATTTATAGTATTTTCCACGAAGGGTGGTTAGGATAGATAGATACTTATAAAGTATGTAAGTAATAATATTATACTATTATTATAATACTATAATAATATAATTGCATGTGGTATATATATATATGTAGTATACATAATATAAGAGAAATACTAAGTAAAATTGCAGACAATTTAATGAAAATGGTAAAATATTCAAAAAGGCCAATATTCACGAAAGGGGAAAATTTCTAAAATAAAATAAAACGGAAGGATAAATTATTTATATATACATGCGCACATATTTATTTACTCAAAAAAAAAAAATAAAAAACAAAAAATTTCCTTTCTGTGTTTAATTTGCTCTTTAAATGTACCCGTTTTTTTCTTTTATTTTTTGAGTTACGACATTTTTGATATAGAAATAATTTTGTCGCAAATGAAATTTTTTTTTGTAGTTGGAATTGCAAGAGAAATATGAGAGAGAAAAAAAATTTATACTTTATTGGGTACATTCTAAATAAAAAAGGATTATTATTCGAGTAATCGTTGCTATATTGTGTTTAAATAACGGTAAATATTTACACATACTTTTGTACTTAAACATAATTGTATATGTATAGTTGTTTAATTTAATTAGAATAATTTATATTAAAACATGTATGAATGTACATAATACAAATGTTTGTATGTTTATTTTACATTTACGAATTTGTATGATTGCAGAATGTTTTTGATCAAACATTTTTTGCCATTTAACCAAACAAATATGTAGGCTGGGACATTGCACAGAAGATAAGAGAATTAAAATAATAAAAAAAATAGAAAACAGTTTATTATGTGCAATTCTCGGAAGTATTTAATTGGTAAACACATGAAATATAAGTTTAAGAAACTTTTAAAATTTTCGTGGAAATGGTAATAGACTTTGTCGTAGTCTGAACGAAGACTGAATTTTTAACTTTATTTTTGAGTGATTTTTAACGATTTTCATGAGTAGAATTTTTTGAGCAATATTTTATTTTTGTGAAATTTTTCGAGTGACTTTTTTGAGTGTTTCTTTAAGTATTTTTATTTTGATGGGTCCTCTATATTGGCGAAATTTTTAAATAATATGCTTAAACAATATAAGTATAGTTTTTATGTATTTTACTGTATAAATTTTATATGAGTTGTACATTGTATTTTAGGAAAATATTCGTTTATGAGTAATTTTTTGAGACAATTTTTTTATTTATAAACATCTTTTTGATGATCAAATTCATCATTATGATTTGTGACTCAAGCACAACGGGACATTTAATTACTATTAAGGTCACAATTAATTACTAATAACCATTCAAAACAAAAATGTATGCTACCTATTATTGATAACTTTTTTTTCAGTTTCCTCTTAGGAGAGTAACTTCTACAAAAGCTTCCTTATTAGGAACCACTTTCAGAAGTATTTTAGTGGCCAAAATTGTTGCCATTAAAATGCTTTTTCGACTATTCAAAACTTTATTTTATGTAAGAAAATATTTTTTTTAATCAAACAAATTTTTCAGTGGTTCAAGTAATCATTATCAATTATTATATATGTATGTATGGGTATATGGGTAAATATATCCAGAAGAAGTGAATATTTTAACATAAATTAAATTAAATTAATAAAGTATTAGAACGGAATAAAGCTTTAATTCAGCTTAAAATATGTTTATTTAATTTGTATTTTGAAATGTATATGTGTATGTTTACTGAATGTTTTAATCTAATGAATATGTACAATATATAAAATATACATATATACATATTTGAAAAAATATTACCATATGTGTTCTTGAGCATCACTTTAAGTAAATCTTTATGCAACAAGCTTGGGCGAGTGAATTAATTAATCCGATGAAATAGTTTTTTATCTCAAAATACTAAAGACTTGGGCTTACAATTTGTATAAATGTTTTGAAAGCGTTTAATGTGCATCGTTACTGTGTTTTGCGTTCTTTAATGATATTTAATTTTAATTTTAAGTAAAGGGCGTTGAATCAGCATAGTCAACTTTTTCAAATTAATGTTTGATAGCAACTTCAATCAGCCTGGGATTCAAAATGATCTGATTAATTATAAATTTTTATAATTGAAAATTTAATTAATTTATTATATAATTATAATTAACTTAATTATATAAATTTATTATTACTTAATTATAATTAACTTTCCTTTAATAATTTAAGAAAGAAAAGTTAATTATAATTATGAAAATATATTTAAATCTGCACAAACATACATACAAAAATACAACATCGATATTTTTTTCACTCTCTTTCTATATAATTAATTATTTATTGTCGCTTAGCACGTACTAAAATAATTGTTTTACAATTGAATTGCGAATTGTAGACCTCGTAACGCAATATTTAAATGAAGGCAAACGTGTTATACCAGCATAAGTTTTTAGTGTAGGTATGTATAAAGGTATACATTATGTGTATGTTTATATGTATACGTATATATTATGTATGTGATGTTCTAGTTATCCAAAAAAAAAAATAGTATGCAATTCGCATTTTGCAAATAAAATTTCTTTTTTGATTTATTTATTGTTAGAGTAATGTATATACTAGATGCGTATGTATGTACATATATAGATATAACTTGTTTTCGTTTTTATTTACCACTGCATTCAATAAGGGAGGTGATGTGATGGCACCAAATTTCTCCATGGTATATGAAAGTCTAAATTAACTATTTTTGAAGTGGTGTTGCTCTATCAGTCTGTGTATGTGCGGGTATATTTCAAAGTACGAAGGAACCGATTACGACGAAATTGTATATTCGAGTTTATTTCAGCTTTGTCGCGGACTGATCAGCTTTTGGAATATGTCAAGCCTTTGGAACTGAACCATTTTCTAGGTTGAAAAATTAAAGAGAAATAATTAAACAATTTCCTTGAAGTTTAATATTTAAATTTGGGCTGTTAAAACGACGTATTTTTAAATTTTTTCAAAAAATTACGGCTCGGAAACCGAACAAGGGACCGATTTTACATTTTTTCTTATTTCTACGGAACTAGTGTATGGAATATACCTATAGATTGTGTTATGTGCTAACCACATCAGATTTTTTGTGTTTTTGTTTTTTTTTTTAGAAAAGGAGTAAGTTTAATAATCATATAAGTTTAAAAATTAAAAGCATATCCAAACCAAAATTTATACATAAATACATATATATGTGCATGTATGTATGGGAAGTTATAATTTTTTTAATTTTTTATGATTTGTTATTGATAATTTTATTTTATTTTACTATGGCTTAAGTAATAAGAAAACGGGTTTTTAATACAATTTCTTCAAATGAAATTGTATAAGCTTGTATGTACATACATATATGTATGTACGTATACGATACACATATGTACATATGGAACTATACTATGTTGCATCTGTCTAAATTTATTTGTTTGTTATTCTCTCTTCTACATTTAATAAATGTACGTTTTTATTAAGGCAGACGAAATGAAATTATCTACTTGATTTAGCAACTGAGTAACTTAAACTAGTCAATTTAAAACGATTTTAATGGAAGGTTTATTATCTCGCATGTACATACTATTTGTTTTTTTTTATTACAGTTTATCTTTTTTTTTTAAATCATTTACGGTAATCGGTAATATTTTTTTCGTTTTAAATAAACAAGTGTTTCATTCGGGTTTACTTGCGTTACGCACGACGTCTCCCTATTTTACGGTATGTGTATATGAAATTGTGTTATAATCAATTGTTCTAATGAATTATATTAATTACATATGTATATTTGTATGTGCATAATATATACCTGTATTTATGATAATTGCAAGCCAAAAAATAAAATAGCTTATATTTTAGGATGTATAATGTGTGTTTAATGATTTAAAAAATTGAATGAAATAATTGTGATCTATGTATGTATATATATATGCATATATGTATTTTATTATAATATAAAAATATGATATGTGATTTTGTATGTACATACATAATGTGTATATATATATATGTATGTACTTACATTTTTTATTAATAAAATTAGTGTTTGAACTCAACAAATAATTTATGAAAATAATTTGTTCAATACATAACGTATATGTAAGTATTTTCTAAAGGTGAAATAATAATTCTAAACTTAACTATGTATATTTAACTAATAAATTTGAAATTTTATTAAACTTTAATTCTCTTTCTTCCACAATCCCCCCTATTTTCTCATTTAAAAGCCCGAGTTCTAAAAATTCACATAAAAACTCTTAAAAAATCAAAAATAAGAGAAAGTATAAAAGATAATGCGTGCAATGACAATTTTATAACATTATTCAACGATATACAGAGAATATTGTAATTTTTTCAAAAAAAAAAAGGAAAAATTAGCGGCTAGTGTAAAAATATGGAGGATTGCTTGAATAAGATGATTTTATGAATGTATGCAAGTATATTTTTGCACTTAGGTGTGTGTGTACGTTTAGTTTTCAACCGATTTCATGTGGTGAGCAATTCATTTCGTCTTATTTGTAAACTATACGCCGCATGATGATATTTATTAATATTTGAAGAGTGCAATTTCGGAATTTTTCTTGTCAAAATTTTCACAAAATCAAATCCTTGAAATGTTGCCTTGCTTTAGTAGTTTTATATAAAGCCTATGCAGATACATATTAGGGGTATTCACGAGTTGGTGCAACAGTGCAAAATATTTTTGAATTGGTGCGTATATTTACACCGACTGGTATACGACTCTAGCATTTTGTCTAAAAAATAAATATGTATAACATATACTTAAGTAGGCATTTTTCAAATGTAATTTTAAAATACACATAATTTTATTGCGCCAAGAAAGGAAACTTTGCTCAAGGAATGTCTCTGCTTTATGTAATATGCTTCATGTAATAGCATTTTTCATACCTGAACACAATAACCAGAAAAAATGTTATTCAACAATGTGCACACCAAATGTCAAAAATTTTAGGCTTGCCCTATCTATTATATCCCTATTGTATTAAATATAGATTCCCTTTCCCAGAAATAATAAGCTTATCAACCTTATAGCTTAAGCTTAGCGACCTTATAAATGTAAAAATAAAATTGAAAATATTTAATAAATGTAAAAATATTTTTCCTTTTTTCAGATATTTTAAAATTACGATGTCGTCATCAAATATACCGTTTACAACTGTTAAAAGTAAAACTCCTGAGAGTCTAGCTGAAGATTTGAGGCAGTGTTTAAAAGAAAGGGCCTTTATGCATAGGTAAAATTTTTATGATTTATTTTTTTTAAATTTAGTATGATAGATATATGCATGTATTATATTAGTAGCACTATATCAGGGAATCGCAACAATTTTAAGTACCTTAATCTAAAAAGAAAAAATCACAATTAAAAATTTGCTAAAATTTGAGATTGTATTTTTGTAAAATTTTATTTCGTGTTGCAATTGCAAATGTTATAACAGCATACACAGTATAATAAAAATATTTAGAAAGTTATTTTTTCTCGTTCTTGCAGACAATTCTATTATAGTTTATCAAATTTCCCGGAGAGAAAAAATTCAAATTCAAATGGAAAATTTGATGAAAAAACTGAAGAGCTACCATCAACATTAACTGAAGCAAATTTACAATTACATAATAAGAACATTGAATCCGAAATGAAAAAACAAAACAACATCATAAATCAAGCATCAGTTAATAAGGGCACACATTTTTTTCCAAAAAGCTTTTCAAACAAGTTTAAAAAACAACAAAAACATGAAAAAAACATAAACTCGAAACCTGACAGCAGCAATAAATATGTGATAAGAACAAAAGCTCAACCAGATATTCTAATGTCTAAAACTTATGAAAAATCAAATAAAACTATCTATGAATCAGATGATGTTAATGAAAACAAAAGCAATATGAAATTTTTTTTAAATAACTATAAAAAACTGCAGTCAGAATCTGAAGAAGTTAAAATGAAAACAAAAGATATTCAAAACATTAATTATAATGCATTTGGGATTAAAGGAAATAATTGTACTTCAATGCAATTTAAAGACAATAACCCTACAGAAAAAGTTAAATTAGATAGCACTAATTACAACCTTAGCAATTATGGTTCTATTGAACAAAAATTTTCAAAAATTTTTACTAATACATCTAATTCTCAATTAGAATATGATAAAGAAAGGCACAATTATATTACCGCTGAAATTACACCTGATGAAACACGAATTAATGATTTTATTTCTGTGAGAATAAATAAAAATGAAAATGGAAAAACTATTACAAAGCTTAAAGATGGTTTTCAAACACAAAAAAATATATTAGCACCGTTGACAATATCACCTCTTTCTATGTATTCAACAAAATTAAATGAATTATTAAGAACGTCGTCGTCATCGTCATCGTCGTGTTCGGTAAATATTCATTCTCAGAGTAAAAATAGATATCTCAACGATATAAAAGATAACAATAAAAACAGTTATGTGAGTAAAATTAGTCGTGATATTACTGTTAATCGGGCTAGACGTCAGCACATCAGAAATAATAATATTATAAAAATTGATAACAGCTTTTTAAAATCAGCAGAAAGTTGCGAAACATTCAACGAAAACGTTGAAAATTTTTTAAAAAATAAAAAACGCTCAAAAAAAGATTTTCGTATTTTTCAACCAATTTCTCAGAAAGGACCGTTACTCACTAAACGTAAATTGGATTTATTTGCAAATTTTTCTGGTAGAAAACTTAAGTCGAAACTTCATCTGAAACAACAGGTTAAAAATAAATTGAAAAATTGTTTAAAAAATTTTGCTTATGAAAATATTAAAACATCCCCACTAATTGCGGATCTAAAGAAATGTGTACAAAAATTCCAGGAGGAAAAAATTGTGAACGCTGTTAAATTAAATTCTCGAAAAATGATTGACATTAAAAAAACAGAACCAGCACCAACCACAGAATCTTTAACTACGGAATATTCAAGTAAAACAATAAGTCCTGTTTCAGATGAAGGTTGTTTAATTGGACAATTAAGTTATTCTGACTCCGAAGAAAATATATTAAGAAATTATACGAGAAAATCCAAAAAGGTACCGAGATCTACAAGTCATGATTCAGCTTTGGGATTAGAAGAAGATTTTTCTTGTCTTGCATTTATTGATCGTAGAAAATCAACAGAATCATTTTTCCTCCCTGAAAAAATTTATAAACAAAATAGCAAAGAAAGGAGGAACACACTTACAATAGCAGATATTCCACTACGGGCAGCACTTTTACCGTTGCCGCAACCTATTGATTTGCCAGATACAACAAATATATGCGCAAGCGAGACAAAAGAAAAACAACAGCAAAAAGCAACTACTAGTCAAACAGCAGTTCCCAGTAAAGTACTAATTGAAGAGCGCATTATTGAAATTCCAAATGAAATCGGACAAATAAACACTTCAAGACGTGAATCTGCTCAAAGTTGTAGTAGTGAATATACAAATTCAAGCGAATATGGTGCAAAACGTTATGTACGTACTCCATCTGTTGTCGTTTCTGATTATTCTGATGATGTTCTATGTGGTATAACACTTGAAGAAATTGAATATTTTCGTAAACAAAGAATGCGTCGTAGATCTTCTGACGAAACTGCTACAACAGAAAAAGATGATGCATTATCAGATGTTAGTGGTGCTTCATCATGTAGTAATTTGTATTATTGTGGCTCAACGATAAGTGCTTTAGATGGTGCAGATTGTTATATTAATGGTATACGAACAAGGATTTTCCGTAAAAATTCAGATTGCTCAGTATGCAGTAATTCATCACAGATTAGTTGTGATGAAGATGAAGAAGGTGGCGACAGTAGTTATGATTGCTCTGATGATATTTTTCATGAAGATACAACAAATAACAAGAGAGAGACGTCATCTAAAAAGAAGGTATGATATAATTTTTGCTAAAAAAAAATGAAAAAATAAAAAGTATTAATAAAAAATGCAAAATTATAATAATGTAGTCTAATAATTAAGAGAAAATTTTACTCTTAATTGCATATTTTTTTTTGTTTTTAAGTTTAAATAAGATTTAATGAGTTTAAATAATCTCAAAATAAAAAAAAGTATTATGAATTATGCAGTATGTATTTTTACACATTTTAAATGTATATCTGAGGTCGCTTTTCCAAATATACTGTGATTTAAGTTATACAAAAATTGGATATAAATATTTTAAGTAATTAAAATAATTGTTCTGTAATATAAAAAGAAAAAAATTTGTTTTAATTTTTCAGTTTTATTACTTTTAAAATTATCTATAAATGTATTAAAATAGATAAGAGGAAAACATATTTTAAATACATTTTCTGTCAAAATCAAATATATATGACAAAAATTTTTTAAGTATTAGCTGTAATTACGTCAAAACAGTCTATATAGCGGAAAAATAGTAAAACTAATAAGTTTGATAAGCAACACGATATGATTGACGCACTCATTAAATGTTGCTAATTTTGTATGCGTCTGAAATCTGATATAGAGGGTGAGTGATTAAAATTTAACAAACATGTTCATATATTTCATTACGGAAAGTGTTCCGAAAATTTTTGAATTTGTGTAGGAATTTTCGAAATTTGACCCACATCTTGAAAAATATCTTTAAAAAATGTGAGTAAAATCTATATCTCCTACTAAAAAGTTAAGCCGACCGGTATTTAAAAGAAGTCTGTTAGAAAATGCTAAAAAAATTGGATTACGCTTATGTTTAGGGTTAGAAAATTGTTACGAATTATTCGGCGTTAAAATCAAAGCACACTAATAATAACCATTGTTGTTATCGTTGAAAAGATCTTGAACAGCTTTTCAATATTTATTTAAAGAGATTCTTGGAAACTGTTTTCAAGCCAAAAATAGATTTCGAAAACTTGGCGAAAGTACACTTAAGTTGTGTTCTATTAAAAGCCCAATTATATTGTGCGCTAATAGATGGCAGTTTTGTAACTTGATAACTCTTGCGATTCTATGACATTAAACATGATGGTACCATCACGCCTTTTCAAATAAACTTAAAAAGTTCTGATTTTTTGGAAATATTTTTTTCCGATAAACTTTTCTTTATAATGTACTGTTGAATTAGTACATATTAAGCGCACGGTGCCAGAAAACAGTTCCGAAGTGTTACAGGTGATACGTGATAGAGTATTTTTCTGCTTTTAGTCCGTTATATTCATTTTGTTTCTTCTTATTATAAAACTAAAAATTCAAAACATCAAACGTCGTTTTAATAAGATTCAGTGACAACTGAAAAGTTTAGATATCAAATTAAATTTAAAAAAAAAACCACTGTTCTATATCAAAAATTTACTTAAATATAAATCTGTGACGTCAATTGAATTTTTTATTAAGCTAATATTAATATAGTTTTTTTTTTATTTACTCGAAGTTCCATATACACAGTTAGTTGATATTAAGCTTGAGTTTTTTTTATTTTATCGTCATCATAAAAGATGATAACATTTTGCTAATCTATATTTTTTTGATATGTGAATTCATACATTATTTAAAAAAAAATTAATTTGTTTAGATATGTACATACATATGTACTTAGAATACTACATACTCCGTAAAAAAAAACTATCACATAATTCGTTTTGCTTTTTCAATTTTATAAGGGAATTTAAAAATAATGACTAGCTATCATTGTTTAAAATGACATTTTTTATGGTCACCAATTTGAATATTTTTGCTTAAATGTATTTTGACATAATGCAATTTCTACAAAATATGAAATTGTCAGTTTCAGTATTCCCAAAATTACCTATAGAAAAATACTTAAAATTAAAATACTCAGCGATTAATAGTCACTCGACTATTTCGAAAAATTCGGCAAATTTTATAATACATATGTACATATATCGAAAAATAATATAATATATATGTATGAATAATTGTGTTAGGTTAGACATACTGTTTTCAAGGTTTCGAAAAACAATTTTTTTCTGCCATATGTCATCACTAACGTCAAAATATAAAATGTTGACAATTATTTACTAATCTTTATTTTGATACCCCTATGATAAAGAGACATTACTTTAACCTATAGCGTGTATACTATTTGTTTTTACTTAATTTATTTAACTTATATTTCAACGATAAACTTTCCGTAAATATCTCTTTCACAATTTATTTTAATAAGTGCTATTTAGATCTCATATAGAAAGTCACATAACATATATAACTTACGTAACATAATTTTGAGAGTTATACATGTCAAAAGAAAATTTTGAATAATGAACTTTATTATAAACGTAATATGTAATAATCTCACACCGTATACATATATTTGTATTGCAGTATGTATATAAAAAATAATTAAGTATATTCCCTGTCACGGTCTCAATTGTCTTTAAAACATTAAGTGATTTTAATACTATATGTATGTATGCATGTATGAATTATGTAAAGCAATGATTCCGATAACTTAGTGCATACAGTGCGTCATACCTTTTAGCTGTGTTATCCAAATCACATAGCGATATCATCACATCCTGCCCGCGTAATCTTCTGATTGATAGATATAAGAAAATCACTTGGATGGTTCGCAGGCAAGTCTGTTCTCAAGGACAGTTTGGTCCGCGGCATTGTTTTACTTGACAGTGACTAGACATTTGTGTTTTCGGGTGTGTAGTTATGATGTTAGTGAGTTAACATTTATTTTTAAGCTTGTTCTTGCTCTGCATCCTTGCATTGTTCCACTTTTTTTCATATGTTTTTATATATGTTTAATAATAACTTAATCTATTTGACTTGTATACTAACTACACTAATTATTGATGCTAAATGTTAGTATTTTATGACGGTCCAGCTAAATGGTAGTTTTGAGATGTATACACTTTTATTGTCTCTACTGTATATTGATTGTATTGAACTTGATTTTACCTTTTAGTTTTATTTTGTTTTACATGCTTGTTTTAAGAAGTTTTTGGGATACTAAGCCTTTTAAACTATAATTAGCTGTCTTAATACATATTAATAATACTTTCGACTATAATGGAGATTGCAGTTCACTGTTAACATTTGCTATTATTACTATATATCATAGCTTCTATATAACTATCTCCAGGTAATACAAATTTTTGAGGGTTACTATGAGCTTAAGCTTATACAAATTCTTGAGCTGATTATGATCTAGAGTTTTTGATAAACGTTATTAATTAATTATGTAGTTCGGTCGAAATCATAAAGTTCCGAAAAAAATAGATCTTAAAACTGTTATACAGGATGAATGACCAAACATTTTTCAGCTTTTAAACAGCAAACTAAAATTAAGTGTAAGCTAACCAAGAATAGTTCAAAGACGTTCTGGTAAAAAGAAAGCTTCAGATTTTCAAATTATCGTTAACATATGTATCTGCAATGAAAATTTGTTGACTTCCAATTTTACAATTATAGAATAATTTTTATCATTTTCACTGTGGCTAACTGTATATGTACAAATATTCAATATTTTGACAGAAAATGTGAATTTTAAACAATATGTACATATAGTATGGTTATGTATACACAAGATTTGAAATTTTTTTTTCTGTTTTGAGTTCTAGAGCAAAAAGCAAAAATTAAAAAGTGATTAAATAATTGAATAAATCTTTTTAGATGTTAACACACGCTATGTAGGGAAAGGAAAACTTTTTTTACAAATACATACGCATATTTATAATACAATATGTAACCGCTGATTGAGAGTAATATGTTATAATAACTCATTATTATTCTCATTTAGTAAATATGCTTACATACAGTTGTTGTTATTTCAATAATTCTAATATTAAATTTTTTTATTGTTTTCGTTTTATGTTATATAATTTATTTTGTTTATTATGAAAAAAACACAGTAAAGAATTTTTTAAATTATAATTTATATTTTTGTCAAAATAATGGAAAGAATTAAATACTATACAATACATACGTATACGTATATTCGACAAAAAAATTAAGTATACTTGACATTACAAAAAAATTACCTTGCTTGACATTAAGTATACTTTACATATCCTTTAAAAATTTATAGAAAATGATTTCAAAATTTTCCGATATTTTTCGTAAACCTGAATTATAAAATTTTGTCCTAATTTATACTTTTAAACTAAATTATAATTTCTACAATAAATTTTTATTAAATTTTTTTTTTTGCTTTTAAACATTGTAATCTCTATATTATTTACTATTCTGATAAATTACTATAACTAAAAAGTTAATATTATAATAAATATTTTTTTAAACAAAATATAATGGTGAAAAGAGTTGATAAACGCGCTTGCGGCCATACATGTGTATGTATGTTTATATATAATATTTATATTTTTTATCTGAGCAAATATTTTTAATATACCAAAAATGTGATAAAATATAGTTATCTTATTGTATATCTTAAACATAAAATGCAGTGTGTATATAAAATTTTTTAAGATAAAAATAAATTAAAAAAAATTAATTTTTTTTTTTAATTATATTGTACCTGTGTATACGAAATTGAATGAGAAGTAAAATATTAGCGTTCTTTGGAAAGTTCAAGCGTAATTTTAAATATTTATATAATTATGAACATTTTAAGTATTTATTTTTCTGTGATAAATTTTACATTAAATAATAAAAATATTATTATATTATTGCTTCCAGTCATCGTAAAGAAACAATCAGATGTTGCTATTATTTTAATAACTCTTAATTAATCTTGAAATTTGAATTGATGTGTACGATTAATGTGGAAACAATAGTTATTGTTTTATTAAAATATCTTATTTTCTCATAGGTGTATATTTTTTCTAACACATATAATTTTATCATTAGTTACTTGTATTAAGTATATATTAGTTATATGACATTGTAATGATGTCACATCTTTTCCTACGTCATCAAAATCGAAATTTATTATTAAAATTACAAAA